CCCAGCAGCACACTGGGGTGCTTTCAGCCCAGATTTGGAAGTTAATTTTCGGTAAGTGAGAGCAGGATGTTATTCCTAGGGTATTTCCTTGGTTGCAAGGCTAGGAGTTTGGAAATCAGAGAATCCTTAAGTTTGGGTTGGAAGGGACCTTAAAACCCATCCAGTGCCACCCCCTGCCATGGGCAGGGACACCTCCCACCAGCCCAGGTGGCTCCAAGCCCTGTCCTACCTGGCCTTGGACACTTCCAGGGATCCAGGGACAGCCACAATTTCCCTGGGCAACCTGTGCCAGGGCCTTCCCACCCTCACAGGGAAGGATTCCTTCCCAATATCCCATCTAACCCTGCCCTCTGGCAGTTTGAAGCCATTCCCACTTGTCCTGTCATTCCATGCTCTCTCCATCTTTCTTGCAAGCTCCCTCCAGGCCCTGGAAGGCCACAGTTAGGTCACCCTGGAGCCTTCCCTTTTCCAGGCTGAACAATCCCAATTCTCTGGGCCTTTCCTCGGAGCAGAGGTGCTCCAGCCCTCTGATCATCTCTGTGGCCTCTTCTGGACTCGCTCCAACAGGTCCATGTCCTTCCTGTGCTGGGGGACCCCAGAGCTGGATGCAGCACTCCCCATTTTGTGCCTCCCCCCACAAACAGAGCCCTCCCAAAAGCTTTTCATCCCCAGTGGCCAAAAGCTGCCCCTTCCCTGGGAGCACAAGGCAGCACCCACCACTCTCCCACATCTCCCTCCACATGTCTTGCTCCTGATATGGGAAAATCCTCAACCTCTTGCCCTCAATCCCCCTATTCCTGCCCTTTCCAGCCCCACTGTCCTGGAGGGCAGAGTGAAGGGCACATCCTCAATCTTCTGCCCTGGTTATACCTCTATAATATCGGATTTTGATGGAGCAATAGGATGAGGTCACCCCAGCCGGCCTCACTTTGATTTTGGTGTGGTTGCCACAGCAGCAGAGGGCGAAACAAACATATAGTTCACCAAAGCAAAGTTTTCCTGGCTCCTGGGGTTCATTTTTCTTTCTGAGCTGGCTTTGGGAAGGCAGCGCAGCGGCAGCTCATGGAAACTCCAACGTCTTTCTCTCTCCCCTGTCTGCTCCTCCGTCTCCTCAGCCCTGGAGATAAAGGTTAGACATCTGGTTTGGATCTGCCCCGTTTTCACTGAGCGAGAGCCGTGCTCCTGCTGCCTCGTAAATCATCCCACAGCTGGAGCGCAGCCCCGGCCGCTCGCTGCCGCTCCCCATCCCGCCACGCTCCTTCAGGGAGGCTGTGCCTCCAGCAAGCTCCCTCCTGCCACTCTCTGAGTGATCCACAGCTGCTGGGCAAGGGGCTGAGAAATGGTCATGGATTTAAGATGATCCCGTGGATCTGAAGCCGCCCAGGATGCTGGGCACAGGTCAGCTCAGATGGCAGGAACGGTGCTCGCTCGTGGTGAGCCAGGGGGAAACCACCCTGCCCTGAAGAGCTTAATGGGGCTACAGAACACAGGCAGAAAGCAAATGAGCACCTGGAAAATCTAGGGGCTTCCAAATCCCTTTCTCCCAGCTTATTGTTACTCAGAGGGTTAACGATTTTAGGCTTGGGAGATGATGTAGCATTTCCATCTCACGAGAAGAAGGCTGCAGGAAGGACCAAGGGTAGGGTGATGGCCACACAGAAGACCCCTGGCCAAGAAAATGCCCATATTTCTGCCCCAGTTATGTGAAGATCCTTTCCTCCAGGCTCAGCTGCTTCAGGTTTATCTGCATCTATGCTGAAGCACTTGGATACAGTCCTAATTTCCAGGAACACCCAGCGTGGAAGACATCCTTTTCCTTCAACTCTTGACCTTGCAGTGTCAACACTTGCCATGTAGGGCATTGCTGGAAAACCCTGTTTAACTGGAAGGATCTAGGCAGGTACATGTGTACATCTATGGACTGGCTTCCTTTATTGGTGTAATAAATTTAATACCAGCTAATAAAATTTGTCAGAGCCACTTTGCCTCTCCTTGTAAAGGTCTCCCAAGAAGGCTATGATTAAATGCAAAGCTACAGCATTAAGGGAACCTAACCAAGCATTAAATGCTGCTGATGCCTTAAATTTAAGGGTCTGCTTTCAGTGTTTAATTAATTCGCTCTAGGGAGGAGGTGTGGGTGCAGGAGGGGATGTAGGATTTTGTGGCTTCTTCTGGGCAGCCTTACTGTGAAATGCTCCATGAGGAAGGTCACTGGTAAAAGAAGGGCTGGTGGCTCTGCTGACTGTAACTCACCCATCTTCCTTCAGTACCTGAAGGGACCCCACAAAAAAGATGGAGGGAGACTATTTATAGGATCACGAAGGGACAGGACATGGGGTGACGGTTTCAAACTGACAGAGAGGAGGTTTAGATTGGGTATTAGCAAGAAATCCTTCCCTGGGAGGGTGGGCAGGCCCTGGCATAGGTTGCCCATAGAAGCTGCCCCATCCCTGGAAGTGTCCAGGGCCAGGTAGGATGGGGCTTGGAGCAACCTGGGCTAGTGGAAGGTGTCCCTGCCCATGGCAGGGGTTGGAATGAGTTGATTTTAAAGGTCCCCTTCCAACCCAGGCCATTTTATGATTCTGTGACAGAATTAACACTCCGATTTGAAGACAAAGCATTAAATTCAAGGATCTCTTGGACTTTATGCAGGCCTCCAAGTCAGGGTCAGCTCAGCCTACGTCAGCCCTGCGAAGGTTTCCCTGACCCATTCCTGCAAAACTCTGGAGATTTAAAGCCATTCCAGTGAAGTTCTTTTATTCCACAACGCGACCTCAGCTTGGGGTGGGGGGGAATTCTAGGCTGGAGTCTGACTTTGATGTCTCTGCCGTCCCACTCCTGGGCAGGGGTTGAGGCGACGCCGCTTCTGATGCAGGAGCTCTAGACAGGATGTCTCCGTAAGAAATCCGGCTCAGAGGGGGCTCTGAGGCCACCCCAAAAGCAGCAGGGCGTGGATCTGGGGGCTCCCCCCCGGGACAGGCGGGAGCAGAGCGGGCTGAGCTATTTTTACTCGCGGTGCGGTCCCGCAGCCACGCTGGCAGATGCGCTCCCAGCTGCAATGACTTCCATGTGCAGCCCCTCGTGGCCGCTGGCCGGGGGCCCGGGGCGTACCGTGCTTCCTTAAAAGGCTCGGGAGAGGCGATGCAACGCCCCAGGCATGGGAGGGAATGCGGGGCCCCCTTCCCAAGCCTCCTCCTCCTCCTCCTCCCCCCGTTCCCGGCACGTTGTGAAAGCCCGGGCTGCTCCTCTGCATCCCGGAGGTCTGCACGGTCCATTGAAAGCAGCTTTCCCGGGAAACGGGGGCGGCACAAGCATTGGGAAACCTCTCCCGTGCTGCAGAGGGGCGGGAGGACGAAGGGAAGGATCGCTTTAACCTAAGTACAGCTCTCATACTCCATGAGAGCAGAGAAAGGGGGTCTGGGGCATGGTCCATTGGCGGTGAGGGGCAGGGCGGGCTGCTGTGTCCTCGGGAGCAGCCACAGCCGGGTGCAGCCCTTGCAAGACCCACTTACAGTAATAAATAAATAACATTTACCCCTTCCCCTCTTTTTTTTTTTTTTAATGGAGCCCATGTGATGTGCTGGGAGAGGGTGCCAAATAAACAGTGCACTTTCCCAAGTGCAGCTGCCACGGCTCGGCTCATCCCCAGCCCAGCCGTGTCCTGCTGTGCCCTATCCCCACGCAAGTGGCTTGGTACTGACGGGAAGTTTTGGGATCTGGGCTGCTCTGCGTGCCAAGAACGGGGTGCCTAAAACTGTAAAGCCCCCATGGGAAGCCCTGTGAGCTCTCCTTGCCCGGCCTGTTGGATTCCAGATCCCTATGGATCTGCGGCCCCGCTCAGCCGGACAAGCCCAGGTGAGGCTCCTGGAATCCTGCTGATCATGTGCAGCACTGAACAGGGAGCCTGAGGTGTTGGATCAGCTAAATTCAGCCTTGTAAACTGGTGCTGTGGAGGGCAAATCATCCTGTTGGGGTTGGTGCTTCCAAAGGCGTCGAACACAACACACATGTGGAATGTCTCACGTCGCGGTCCTTGCAGACCCACCTGAAGGGCTTCAGAAAGTAGCACCTCAAAATGTGGGGTGGGAGAGCACCGAGCAGCCTTCTCCTTGTGACAGTCCCACCCTGATTCATGGAGGAAAACACTGGATAAGCCCTAAATCGTAAGGAGCCCTGGCTCTCCTCCCCAAGATTTAACCAATGCAACCCCGTTCTCCAGAAGTCAATGCCCTCTCTCTTGGACCTGCCCTGCTTTCGGCCTCTCCATCCCACGTGCCTGCAAGGCTCAGTTCTTCCTTCCAGGCACCTCCAGCAGGAAATGAGAAAAGTTATCCACCCCCACCTGCAGACCACAATGGGGGCTCAGGGAAACTGAGAAACATCACCCCCAGAGCTGCCCCGTGCCCTGGGGCGGTCACATTCATCTGCTTTGTGCTTTTCAGGGGGGATTTTTGGAGAGGCAGGGATATGTGCATTGTTTCTGTGAATTTTGGCTTCCTTGGGTGAGCTCAGATAAGGACAGGAATAGCCTAAGGTCAAAATCATGGCTAAGGACAGCAAAGGAGACAGATGAAAATACTTATGGGGTCACTGAGTCACAGCAGTTGGAAGGGACACCCAGGTCCAACACTCTGCTCAAAGCCAGCTGAGGCCAAGTTACTCCATGCCATGTCCAGCTGAGTTTAAATTCCTCTGGGATGGAGATTTCACAACCAAGGCATCTCGGTTTCCACTCTTTTCCAAGCTGGAAAACTCCAGGTTACCAGTAGTATCTCAGTGATGCTCCCCTCAATATCCATACTACATCTATCTCGCCTTTAAGGGACAGGGGGAATTTCCCAGCAAATAATTGCTTTCCAAAGCCTGGAAAATGGTTCCACTGATACCCACTGTGGCTTTAACAAAGACAAACCCATGAGTTTCTCAAAACCTCCATTAGACTTTATTTAAAAGTTCTTTGTATAGACTTCCTGACACAGAACCCACAATAAAAATAAAATCCCTCTCCCACCCACCGCTCCCCCCTCCCCAGATTGCTTTGCTTCGTATTTTATAAAACATACAACATCAGAAGAATGCCAGAAGAGGCATCCTACACCACAATTTAAAAATTTGTTAAACTGAGGCCTTGGTCCCAGCAGTGCATTTGCATTCGGAAACTTGGCTTCCTTTTCCTTGCTAGTTCGGTTGGCCACGTGTGTAACAAATGCATAAAAAAAGAGATCTAGTCTGAGATCTAATCCAGCAAAAGGAGAAAGACAATAAAAGAGGAAAGAGTGAAAATGGAACCACTTGTTTATCTGAATCAGCCACTCTCTTACACAAAGGCTTCCCCTGTAAAGGCACGCTCAGCTAGGAGAAGGTTCAAAGCAAGCAGGTAGCAAGTTGCAGTGAAATTATTATGATCCTTTTTTTTTTTCTTTTTTTTAAACTAATTTTTATGGTGCCTTAGACAGGCAAACTGCCGGAATCAGGATAAAAAGGGGGTAATTTAGAGACACGTTGAGAGACAACAGCAATCTGCAGTTTGGTAAATACTCGGCAGTTTTGAAGCTATACAATATAACCCTGGCATGTGCAGCACTCAGTCCACAAACAGTTTAGCACCATATTGATAGGTCATGCAGCAGAACCCTTCCTGAATCAGGGTCTGCCTGGAAGTTAAAAGCATGAAACGTTACAGTGCAAGGTCGTCTATACCCTCAGCTTCTATAGGGGCAAGGTGGCAGCGCTGACGCTCCTGGCTGGCCCAGAGGTATGTGTTGGTTCTATGTTCCTATTGTCGTCACCACGCCAGGGTTGATGTTCCCTGCAAGGGGTTTGATGGAGAAAGAGGAAATAAACAAGGTTATTCCACGCAGGACAGCGGGGGGAAGGTAAATGAATTAATTGCCAGGGCTTGCCGAGGAGCCCAGCACGGCGACACGAGGGACTGGGAATGCCAGGGATCAGGCTGGCCCCTCCTTACCAGGGATGCAAAGCTTTTCACATTCTTTCTGCGTGTTAAATCTGTTCTCGTTGCCGCCGCAGCCGCCGTACCAGAACCGGGCGCAGCTCCTGGTCTTAGGGTCGTAGTGCCACTTCAGCACAAAGGTCCTGCAGGTCCCCTCGTCCTTCTGCAGCTGGCAGATGTCCATGGCTGCAGAGAAAAGCAGCAGCAAGAATGGTCAGCGACAGCACAGCCCCTCCTGACCATGTTTGCACGGCACAGAAATGCCTGTGAGCAGGGCTTGGCATGCAAGCTCAGACAGGGCAACCAGGGCGTTGACTCTGCAAGTCTGCTGTGACTAAATCCCATCTCTTTCCTTGCAAAGAGAGGGTCTTTCCCTGGAAGTCACCAGCCCTGGCCCAAAGCCCTGGTCCATGTTGCTGCCATGAGTGATGATGAGATGCAGGAAGGGCACTGCACAGCAGCAGTTGCCTGCAAATCCCCTGGATCTGCGGGAAGTGATTGGCAGGTCTCAGATCTGGGAGAGGACTGGCTGGGCTGCAAGGGAAAATGTACTGGCACCACCATTTTCCTGTTAAAATGCCTGCCTTCCTCTGAAAAGAGAAATCTTCCGTGTGAAGGTGCTCCTGGATCTACCACACCCTGCCCACATTATCCTGCATCCCTTGCTGGGTGAGCAGGGAACAAAACAACACAGCACTTGGATGTGTTAAAATGAAACCTCCAAATAACTTATTTTAAAATGAAATGTGATATTAGCCATTAATTTACCATGTCACAAGCCTCCCTGGCACCCAGGGGTGCAGAAGGAGCTCATGCCACCCCCCTCATCCTGGATGAGGGGGAATCACAACACACAGAGTGTGAGTTCCTCTTGCTAGAGGGGTGTTTGCAACCAGGACCCTTTTTTAAGAAAAAAAAAAAAAAAAAAAAGCCTTTACCTTCTTTCCTTTTTTTTCCCCCCCCAAAAGCAGAGTTAACTCAACCTGTCCCAAGCAATAAGGAAAAGCATTTTGTGAGGGGTTGGAAGTTCTTACCTGGTTTCTGCTACACAAAAAAATATACAGGAAAGACTACATAGCTAGAGGGTGAATATAAACACAGATGCATTTGCCAGCAAGCTTCTTTAGTGCCTGCTGAAAGCAAAGGTGTATCAAACCCCTCTAACCTATTTTAATAGGAAGAAGGGCACAGAGGATTATCCCTGAAATCCCAACTGGAAAGTAGGTCTGGCAGTGGACCCAAAAGATGGGGAGAGCCATGGCAAGCCAGGGTTTTAATTCACCCCATGGAGTAAATGAGCCTGGGCTCCTCAGTGGCACATATAGTTACTTTTGTCATGGTAAAAAATTAAAATTATTATTATTATTATTATTAATAATAAATTAATCATAGATTCATTCAGGTTGGAAAAGCCCTTGAGTCCAACCATTCCCCAGCACTGCAAAGCCCACCACTACAACACCAAGCACCACATCTACACATGAAATATATATGTATATGAAGTCAATAAATAAAGGTTATCACAGCTTTTAAAAGGCTTCACATGGAAGGTGTGTCTGAGGCACGTTTTTGTACCCCAAGAACCCTACGGTCTGGGAGAGAGCTCATTTCTCAGTGTTGCACCTGAACTGAGAGCCCAACCCAATGCCCAGCACCTTAAAGCTGAGCTGCACGTGAACCCTGTGTCTCTTTTTCCACGGGGGATTCAAGCTCTGGTTTTCCAGAAGAAGGAGAGAGGACGAGGTGGTGAGCGGAAGGCGGCGGGCAGAGACTCGAGCGTCCCTGCAGGGCCCCTCAGCTGCTTTTCTTGACTGTCTGCCTGGGGCAGAACGGTGCCAAGCTGATGAAGTACAATTTTAGCCTCAACAACAGTTGCTGGAAACACCATCAAGGCATGTGAGGATGATCAGAAGGGGCTGGCCCATGGGTTGGGGCTGGTGAAAACAGGGTCCTCTGCAGAAAACCACAGCGGGGGGGTTCCCTGCTCTGTGAGGGTGCAGTCCTGCTCTAGGCTGAAGACATGTAAACTGCTTCCTCTGGCTCAAAACTCCTCAAACTGCAACCAAGGCATTCATGATCCCCATCTGAACCCCCAAAGCACCTTCAAACCTCCTTTTTCCAGCCCAGACATCTCCGTGGCTGGTGGGGGCCTCCTCTTTACTTGCCTGCACCTTTCTTTAGGGGCATCCACAGCTGGACTAAGGCTGTCAGTGGCAAAAATTCCCAAGCCTAATATTCCCAAGCTCCTTTTAAGGAGACTAAAATAAACCTAAGAAAATCAATAAGGTGGGAGGGGTCCCTAATTTGCCATGACCCCTCAAGGACTAAAGCCCTGCCAATTAGGTACCAGAGCTGTCTTCACTCCTTGCTTTTCCTCCCACCTCTGCAGAGGGCCCTGAAACACCACTGGGAGGGGGAGGCTGCTATGATAAGGAGGCTTTGCTGGGATCAGATTCCCATCCCAACCTTGCTCAGCCACCACAGTGGTGATTGGAAGTCTCTGCTCCCTTCCCAGGTCTTGAAGAGGTTTGCAAACACAACCCCTTAACCTTAGAAGCTCCTTGAGGAGAGGAGGTCACTGCCATTTTCCCACGTGCTCCTCCCTCAGTCTTGATTTTTATCTTTTGGTGCAAAATGAAAACATCTGCCTGCAAGGCCTGAGTCTCTTGGAGTCCTTTCCCATCAAGTGTTCTGGTTACTGGCGGTGAAATGTTTGGAATTCTCTGCATCTCAGCAGAGTGGGGGCACTGGTTGGTCATGCAACGAAAGCAGGGACTGGTTTGGGCCCGCTCCACGCTCCAGGTCACCAACCCCACGTTTCCCACGAAATCCACTGGGTGGCTTTGCTGTGATTTGCAGTCAGGCTGTGCAAACAAAGCCTGTCCTGCTGTGACAACACCCGTGCAAAGGTGACCTGCTCATGCAAAGAGGGTGGCCTTGTCAGGGAGCAAGTGAAAACTAAGTCTGCACTACTCAGTGGTAGCCCAGGCAGGCTTGGACACATGCTGGGAAAGGGTCAAGGTGAGAGAATGGATTGGCTTGGTTTGTGATTATTAATGGGTTTTTTGGGTCTTACCTGATGGTAATCTCTTCTCAAGGAGTGGCTGCTGCATGGCTTTCTCAGCTGCTGCTGGAGGAAAAAGAGCATGGGTTTGGATTTTAAACCGTGTCTTCTCTCCCATCCAAACATCATTTGACAGCAGGGTAAAACACAGAAGGATTCATCCCCACGTGGTACTTACATGGCTTTAAGCATTTGCTAATGCACTCTGCTTCGGCCTCAAATCTATTGGCATTACCTCCACAGCCACCATACCAACCCTGGCTGCAGAACTTGTGTTTGTAGTCAAAGAACCACACAATCTGATAGTCCTTGCACTGCATGCCCATGTCAAAGTCCAGCAAGCAAGGGTCTGGCCAATCTGCATGTCAAAAGGTGCAAAGGTTAAGTGACTCTGAAAGGGTTAAAAAAGCTGAAAAAGCAAAGAGAGATTGAAAAAAAAAAAAAAAAAAAAAAGGAAAACAAAGCCCAGTACAGGACTGGTGGCATTTCCTTCTCCTGTGATCTCCCTTGCTGGATGCAAACCTTCCCCAGCCTCCAGCTTACCTCTCCTTGCTCTTGATGTTGTCATGCATCCAAACTCCAAATTGGAGCAGCATGGTGGGAGCCCCTGACTCCCTGCTGGTGCACTCGGGATTTAGCCCTCACACAACTCCCCCCACCATCTACTTTCAAAGCTTTTTGTCTTGGCTGCAGCTTTGAATCTTTAGGAGTGTTTATCTCCAAAAGCAAGCTGCACCTGGGGGGACTTGAAGGCTTGGTGCAGATTTAAACATGTCTGCTTTCCTGGCCCCAAAACAGATAATTTAGGTCCACACCACAGAATTTTAATCAGCAATGCTAGTCCACCCATGCTATTTTACCTATAGAAGGAGGGCAGAATTTGGGGCTTCCTCCAAGGTCTGTGAGAAGATTTGCACGTGGGTCTCTCCTGCTGCACAGACACTCAGATAAACCCTTCCCCAACTCCCTGCCCTCTTTAAGGTCTTCAGCCTGGTGAAAACCTTCATATTAGCATCCCTGGGGAATATTCCCCCCAGTCTCCCAAACTGCCATAAATCCTCAGGCAGGGGCGTTTGCTGCAAGTGGGTCCTCAAGAGGAGCTGAGAATGAGAGGTTTGTGTGGGAGCACAGGGCGAGCACATCCATCTTGCTTCGAGCAGGAGAAGCCTGCAAACCTTGTTTCCAAAGGGCTGGCACACAACAGGCTAAATGAAGCCACGAGGGTGGGGACAAGGCTTCTGAGGGGATGTCAGTGCCAGGGAGAGGGAACAAATGGGAAGGGTGGGATGATGGGCCATGCAGGAAAGCAGAAAATGAGATGGTCCCTGCCTGGCACAAGCCCCTCCAGTGGTGCCACCAGCCAGGCACGAGGTCCATGTTCATCCCACTCAGCACAAGCAGCAGCCAGAGCTCAACAGCAGCTTCCCAACTTTTGGCTGAGCACACTGAGCAGCAGCATCTCCTCGGGAAGAAAATGAGCCACAGCGCAAGCAAAGTGCTTAAAGAAAAACATGGGAGTGATGATTCAGGGATGGGTTCTGGACAACAGTTCCATGGTTGGATGTGCTGCTTGATGAAGGCTGAGAGCCCTTCCAGGTCCTTGGAGGAAGAGCTGCAGCCTGGCATTGAGGGTACAGCTGAGTGTAATGGTGCTGATATAATGAGCTTGATGTCAACTGAAGCGATGAAATGACGCATTAACAGCTACAGTGATCATGGGTTATTGACACAGGTTAATGGGATCAACCACAGAGCAGGAGCTGACAGCTCACTCATTTAGCAGTTTACTACATAAACCACCCGTGGCAGAGGAGCAGGGGATGGGCAGATGGGTGAAACTGGAGGGAGGGTACCAATTAGTCTGATTTCTGCAAATCTGACTTCTGGCAATCCCTGGCTGCTGGGCGTAGAATCACAGAACACTTTGGGTTGAATGAGATCTTAAAGTCATCCAGTTATCCCCCCGCTGCCATGGGCAGGGACACTTTCCACCACTGACCAGGCTGCTCCAAGCCCTGTCCAGTCTGGCCAAGCCCTTGTTGGGAGCTGTGTGTTAAAACAAGAGGCCAAGACCTGTTTTTTGCCCCAGATGGGGAGGGAGGGAACGAGCAAGCATCAGGTGATGTTCTGTACCCACACCTACATCTACAGATGCTGCCTACATGGGACACAATTTGTCCCTGAAGTGTGGCCAGCACTTGGGTCGTGGCTCATCTCCCATCCTTTTACAGGAGCAGGACCTGGTTTGAGCTCCCCATGAACACCACAGCAACTTCAGGGCGTTCTGGATCCCTCATGGGGCAGAGACCCCAACAGAGGGCTCAGACCCACATGGCCAAGGATGTCACCTCGGTCATGACCTGTCGGCTCTGCAAAGCAAAGGACTCACAGATCCTCCCGTCCCGAGGGGACTCCAGGAAAGGACGGATTTAGGAGCAGGTAAGGAGAAGGCTGGCTCCCAGTGGGGTCCTGCCAGAGCCCCCCAGCCCAGCACTCCCACCACACTCACCGCTCTCAGGCCCTTCCAGGGGCTCGGTGTTGAGCATCATGTTGGCCAGGGACACCTTGGTCTGCACCGAGGCCTCTGTGGAGAAGGAGCAGGGGGTCAGCCCAGGGGAAGGGCATCTGCAGCATCTGCAGCATCTGCAGCAGCGCCCTCAGCTCAGCCACAAACAAACTGCCTGGCCCCAGCTCCGGAGCAGGGGATGCACACGGGCTGCAGGAGTCAGGCCTGGATCTGTTTACCCTACACATCCATCTCAGAAATGTTTACTGGAGGCAGCTGAGGGGATGAGTCACTCACAGCCACCCAGCTGTGCCTGGAGGGCTTCCCTTCCCTCCCGGCCAGCGGCTCTGCTGCACAACCCAGCTCCCATCCTCAGGGGTGCTCGCAAGGCAGCACCCTCAGGGCCCCACCTGACTGCTGGGGAGGGTCACCCCACAGCACTGGCTGGGTGGGGGCTCAGGAGCTGGATGTGCCCACTCTGTAGCCAGTTTAACTTTGCTCTTCTGGCCTTAGAGGCACCGCAATAAAAACGGCATCCTCCAGGGGACCACATCCATGAGGGGCCCTCTCTTGTTCCCTCGAGGACTGTTTGTACGTTCCCTGGCTCCCTTGGGCCACACTCCCTAGGCAGCAGGAGCTCCAACTCCGCACACTGCAAATGTTACTTCTCCACACTGACGTCGTTTCTCCACGTTTTTGTGGGAATGTTTATTGCTGGTGAAGGTAAGGGACTGGTCCAAACCCACTGAAGCCAAAGGAAAGGGCTCTCCGTGGGCACTGAAATGGGATCTGAAGTGCCAGAAGAAGCCAGACACACAGCAGTGGCAGGACCAGCACAAACTCCACACCACCAAGCCAAGTCACCTCTGTGCCAAACTGTACTAAAATAAACTGACTGTGTCTTGGGCATGCCAGAGGGTTCAGGTTGGTGAGGTTCACATGGGACCTGTACACATGGAGCTCAGATCCCCAGATCCCCAGGGGCTAAACCCCCCATTTAATCTCTCTCTTGTGGGTTTTATTTTTGGATAGTATGGGAAGCAGAGAGGAGGATATGGAAACGGTGATTGGAGAAGCAGTTTTTCTTGCTTATTTTGCAATCAGGCTGGGCTGAATTTACCAGTTTGACTCTTACTATTAATTGCAGCAGTGCTGGCTGGACCCCCACCCAGACCTTTTGCACCATTGTACAAACCCTCCAGCACGTACAATAAGACAAACCCCATTCTGGGACTGGCTTTAATTATCCCACAGTCTGTGTCAACTCAACCACACTGCAGTTTAACTTGCATTTTCAAAAAGAAACACATTAGCCCCGTGCCATAACCTGCTGCTGGCCTGGAGGATTGCAGACATGCAGCGACACAGCTGAGCGCTGCCAGGGCTGGGGCTGTTGCTACCAACTGATTCCCTGTCCCTTAACTTACTTTTCCCCCCATTTTCTGTGTCCACCTAATGAAATAAACCCAAAAAAAAGATGTGTTTTTCCGAGGTACTCACTCGTGGTGAACGTCCCCGTGTAGGTTACTCTGGGCTGGGATTTCTGGTAGCCGGTGACGACCACGACGTATTTTTGCCCGCTCCTGAGCCCTCGGAGCACGTGCTCAGTGCCAGTGAGGTTCTGCCTCTGCACCAGGGAGTGGTCGTGTGCCGAGGTGACGGTGATGTCGAAGGCCTGGTGCGGCTCAGGGCTGGCCCAGCGCAGCCTGGCGCTGCTCTCCGTCACATCCGTGATCTGGATGTCCTGGGCCTTCGCTGCAAGGCAGAATCAGGAGAAAGGTCTCAGGGAAAAAAAGTGCCTCAGTGCTGCAGGATCTTCACCCTAGGCCACTGACAGCCAAGGCATGTGAAAACAAGGCTGGGACTTTGCTATCTCTGATGCTCAACGCAGCACACTGCAGGGGGGCTTTGCTTTCCATAGCCTAGATGATTTATTTATTTCTAATCATCTGTTGCAATCTAGCAAATCAAAGATTTTTTTTTTTCCCCCTTTTTTCAAGATTTACACTGCCTGAAATTCCCAGCACTTTCCCAACAACTCTAAACATGTCCAGTCAGATCCTTCTCTAGGGTGCAATGGCTTCACAGCTGCTTTCTTCCCTATATTGCTTTTTATTCATTATTTATGCAGGGACATGTCTTCAGTGACCGGGTAAGCATCCCTGTGCTTTGGCACATCTTATTACTTGCTCAGCTACTGCAGATCTGCCTGTACCCCCTTGCAAAAACACATGGGAAGTCTCTGTTACATGAACTGTGCTCACATGAGAGTGTTTTAGAGTTCCCAAATAGGTCTCCACGCTGATTCAGTGATGAAATAACTATTCACAATAGCTGAGAGGGAGTTCAAACAATGCCACTGTATGAATCATCATCAACAGCAAAGCCTGGCCAAGGGGTAATGCTGCGAGGAAATCATAGAAAGCAAAAGGGCCACACTAGAAGGAGAAGCTCCCTGTTGCTGGATGGACTGTCCCACGTTTAGCTGTTCTGCTCATGTTTCGCCTGGGGGCAGCCTCTCCCCCTCCCACTTTTGCACAAAATTCTGCACACAGGTTTGACAAGTCAGCCGCCAGCGCAGGTCTCCAGGTTTGCACCTAAAAGCTCGTTTCTGCAAGCACAAAATCTGGCCTCTTTGCTGGCATCTCCCACAGGTGTGACCCCCCCAGGGAGGAAGGACAGCCACAGCCCAGCGTGGCACAGAGGAGGGGTGGCAGTGCTGGGGTGGGGAGAGCCGTGCACAAACCTCCTTGCCTCCTCCTACCACCGGCCGTGGCGTTGGCGTTGGCGCGGGCGGCGGCTTTGGCATGGGTGGTGGTGGTGCTGGCAGCGGTGGAGCTGGCTGGCAGGGCAGCACTGGCCGTGCTCTGCTCGCTGGCTCTGCTCTGGGCCGTGGTGCTGGCAGTGGTGGTCCTGGCATGGGTGCTGGCTGCAGGCTTGATGGTCGCGCTGAGCGTGGTGCTGAGGGTGCGGCTCAGGGTCGCGTTGGGTGCCGCGTACCTGCCGGAGCGAGAGCGGCTGAGATGGCTCTCCTTTTTGTGAGCAGAGAGACAGGACAGAGAGAAACACTGGCAAGAACCCACCCAAGGTCAGTAGTCTTTGCCAGCTTCTGGTTTGCCCACAAGCAAGTGCTGAAAAGAGCTGCAGAGCACCGCTCGTCACTCAGGGCACAAGTCTATCTGTACACCAACAATAATACACATGTGAGAGGGTTCCAAGTGTTTCAAGGTCAGCTTGGACAGGGCTTGGAGCAATCTGGTCTAGTGGAAGGTGTCCCTGCCCAGGGCAGGGGGTTGGAACTTGATGAGCTTTCAGGTTCCTTCCAACCCAAACTGTTCTATGATTCAGCAGACAGATCTGTAACGTGCCTAATTTCAAGGGGCTCAAAAACCTTCCAAAGCCAGCACAGCTCTGTGCCAGCAGGGAATCTTGGTGACACAAGCCTTCACTTCTCTTCAGAAAGTACTAGGATGCATTCTGTAATGGATTCTGTCTATCAGATAATCCAGGGCAGCCCAGCCTCTGAAAATAGTGTGTTGAGTAGAAATCCCCAAATTAATTGTGATTTCTGGAATTCCTGACCTGCACAGTCAAAAGAGCATATACATCCTTCATATTTTTATACATGTACATACCTGAAATTTAACCAAACCTGAAAATTATATGTGTACTTGTCTACACCTCTCTATAAGATATCTCTGTTGCTCTTTTGACACAGCACTGAGGGAGCTATCAAAATTAATTAAAATATTATTAAAATTATATTAATTAAAAGATAATCCTGATCGTTGGTATTGGAGTTACTTTTTCTCTCTCTTTCCAAACAGGAACTGGGAAGGGAAGGCTCCTCTCCAAGAGAGAGAGAGACACAAAGCAACACTTCCTGTCTGGCAGACAAACCAGTACTTACACTGCTTTCTGCCCAGTGTGGACAGGATGCTGGCTCCTGGCTTGCTGGTCATTCTGGAACCACTCACACTGCTTCCTTATCTCTGGAGACAGGTAGAAAGCAAAGTCACCTGGAGACAGAGAGAGAGAGACATTAAACACTGGTGTTGAGGATGGTGGTTACCCACCAGCAATACATTACATATGTTTTTATTCATTAAAAAAAAAAACCCAGCTTCTCTCTTCTTGCTTGCTATGGAATATCTTTCAATGTTTGGTGTGGCTGCTGCAGCACCCTGGGCTGGGAGATCTGTTGTTCCAGTTTACAAACATCAGAGCCATAGCTACAAGATACCAGAGGGCTGCGTGTCTCAGTCTGTCACGTGTAAACAGATTTCTTGTGACAGGGCACTTCCAACCACACAGGTGGATGTTTTTTCAAGAGTTAGAAGTTTCCAGGACTGCTGTAAGCAGTTAATGGAAAAAGCAAACTGAGAAAACCTAAACATTTATTTCCAGATGTTTGCTTTCTATCTAGTGCAAGACATTCCTGAATCGGTGGTTTATCAGCCCACCAGTCTAATTTTCAGGAATTTTTGCTAAGACTAGCTTTCCTAGAGAAGGTCCATTCCTTGTCCTTGCTAGCTGGCTGTGTTTAGGATCCCTGGCTGCTGGAGATCCAGCCTGGGGTCTCCAGCTCAGCTAGATGCATATTTTCAAGGCACAGTCTGCACACCCCAAACACAGCAGCATTGTTTATCCCTGAGCAAAGAATCCTGCCCATCTGGTCCCTAAGCCTGCAGGCAGCAACTCCAGATCTCAGCCTGAGCCTCCCAAGTGCCTGCTAGACATGGTGTTTATGGTGAAATTGGAAAGAAGGATTTGCTGGGTGTTCAAGGAGCTCCAAGGAAGTGCTGGCAGGCTGCAAAGGGCCAAGAGCCTCAGCAGGACCAGACCCTATGGCACACACTGCAGATGTGAGTGGCAAGCCACGCAGGATGAGGTCAGATCCCCACAGGTGAGCCCATGGAGACCAGGTCAAAGCAGACAGAAGGACATACTCTACTTGATGAGCCCACAAGAGATGGGATGGGATGGGAGAGAGACTAATTTCAGTGGGCCCCACTGCCCAAAGAGGTGGTCCTGCTAGAGCCACCCCCCCACCAACAACAGGCAGGCAGACCAGACCTGTGAGATTAACCCCTCTGAGTCGCCCCTTCCACAACACTCTGGCTGCAGGATGTTGGACTTACTTCTGATAAAAGATGGCATCAGTCTGCCAAAGCGCAGTAAGGGCTCTTCGTGGAGCTCTCCTGGTTTATCGACCAACTTGAAGAACACATCAGTCGGCTCACTAGCGAGGCCGTAGATATTCTTGGCATTCACCTTCCTGCCGATGCCCAGGACAACGAAGAAGTACCCTTTGCACTTTGCACTGGTCACGACCCTCTGCAGGTACTCGAGTTCTTGTTTATCCACTTTGCCTGTCATCATCAGAACGATGACTCTCAGATCCCGAGGGTTTGGCGCGCTTTCGAAAACGTGAGCTATCGTGTGTTCAATCGCGCTCCCCAGAGCCCTCGTGCCCTGCAGCTGGGTCATCTGGTTGTGAAGGTAGTTCATGATCTTCTCTTTGGACCCGTAATCTGTTAGCGAGAACTCAGTTTTCACCGGTGGGAAGCTCGAGTTGGCCTCGTGTTCGTAAGGAGCTTGCTGGAGAACTGCCACCCTCGCGTGGTGCTGGGACACTTTTGGCTCCGAGCTGATCTCCAGGTTACTTACGAGGTGGGAAATGTACTTCTTCATCTCGCTGAACTGCAGAGGGGTGGTGGACTCCGAGCTGTCCATGATGAAGGCTATGTCAGTGTCAACATCTGTCGGGGCTGCCCTTCTGTCTCTGAATCCAAGTCTCTGGGTAACAGCACCGCAGATGGGATTGGGGTCACACACATCTAAGGAAGAAACATAGCAAGTTTCACCTGAAGGAACTAAAACTGACCCTCTTTTATCAGAGTAAAAATCTCTTGAACCATACTAAATACTATCAAGCCATGGACATTCACTGGTCCATTACTTGACACCAAATTCATTTCACGCTACATTTAGTTATGCACTTAGAATTTTTACATGCTCCTTCGACCAAGGGGATCTCTGTCATAAATGGCAGAAGGCCACCTTTGAGAGCATTTACCTACCAGTATTTGGGCTGTTAAAGTGGGAACCAGACTAAAAAGGAGCTTCTCTTTACAAAGTGGAGAACCCCCAGTGGGCCTCGCTCACAGTGCCAGTGTTTTTTGCTCAACCCAAGAACCCGAATCCCTTGCCCTCATCAGCACAAGGGCTGACTCCCAGCAGGGCTTCCCTTCTGCACCACTTACAGCTCACTGCTGTGTGACCAGAAGGATTTAGCACTGTCTAGAGCAGAAACTGGATGCCTTACCCAGACAAATGTGACAAGTCAGGAGCCTTAGGATAGTTTCATTCAGCTGACTGCCGCTGGTTGGAAGAACAATGGCGTGGCCAACCGCTGTGTTGTTGATCTGGTTAGACAGAAACAGAGAAACACAGTGTTAGCAATGCTGCCTTCTCCTGTTTCCAGCTCAGAGTAAGGGAAGGCAGTGCACAACTCTGAGAGATTCTCTGCTCAGCACAGTGGCCTTGGTGGATCCCATTTGGAGGAGCCTCAGGGCCCTGATGTGTTAGTGGGACTGGTTTAGAGTCATAAACTCCAAGAAAAGGATCAAGTGCTTGAAACAGTGCTCACTGTGGGGCTTTTTTCTGGCTTTAAATCTCTGCACATCCACTCTCCCTCTGCCAACAATGCTAACGTACTTCCAACCTTCCCACCCTTTGCCTTTTCTGCCAGACCTTTCTCACTACGGAGACTCCTTCCTCCTGTTTTACAGCACACCTGGCACCCTGGAGCCATGGCCTGGAGCACAAATGACTCATGATAACCCCAGTAGTGTCTCACAGCACGTGCTGTGGTGACTGTGGAGTTAGGATTTCTCTCCCAGGAGACACACTGGATGAGTTTGGCCAGCAGAGCTTTCTCAGCGCCGAGCACTCGAGAGGCCCATGGGAGCCAACCCCTCGCTGCCTGTAGGACCCAATGCCATCAGTCCCCCTGCAAGCCAGACTGAGGTCACCAGCAGAGAAGGAAACAAAGAGTGAATGACCCCAAACCTCCAGAGCTCTGCTGAGAACCGCGTCCTGCCTGCTGGTGAGGAACACAGGCACGACCCCGGCGTCGTAGAGCTTCAGCACGGCGTCGTTGAGCTGCGGGGAGGCTCTGGTGTCCCCGTTGCTGAAAAACACAGCCACCTTCCGCATGAGGAAGCCACTCCGGGCGCGCTTGAAGGTGTTCCTGGCCACGAAGGACATGGCAGTCTCCAGGCTGCGCGGCTTTGTGGTCAGGGTCGCCTGGAAGTTTTGGATCTGCTGGAGGAGGCTGGATTTCTTCCTGGCGTCGGCGAAGCGGATCTCTGTGGTGACCTCGCTGTTGTAGGTGACCAAAGCCACCCGGGCACCCCGAGGGCAGTTGCTCTCAGCGATGGTCAAGTTGTTGACGACTCTGAGCACGGTTTGCTTCATCCTGTTAAAAACTTCCCTGCCCACGCCCGAGGAGGTGTCGATAGCGAAGGCCAGCTCGGTCGGGAACACAGGGCACTCCTTGGGACCTGCCGGGGATGTGCAGTGGGAACAAATCAAGCTCCAAACACCTGCCAGAGCTGCAGGGACCGCGTCCTCAGCAGGGCTAAATCACCCACACCATGCACACGGGGAGGGTAACAATTCTGGCACCCTGGGGTTTAAAGGGCCAAACGTGACTTACCATAGCAGCAAGCTGTGGAGAGAAAAAGCAGCATGGTCAGTGCCAGTCACGTAACATGGTGGGCAAAGAAGGGCAGAGAAAGGGACTCAGCAGAGCACTGATGTACTCACGGCATTTGTCCTTGATGTTCCGCACAAGGGCACATTGCTTCAGGAAAAAGAGGGGAAAAAGGAGATATGTCACACAGCCAGCCAGAGGGGATTTCAGAACAAGAGAGAAATTGTGCCACACTTACATCTCTGGATTCTCCTCTGTCGCCCTTAAGTCCCTGTTTAAAAGAAATAAATAAATGAATAAATAAACTGGGAGCAATGTGTATTTTCAGGGTACCACATGAACGCTGTCAGAATAATTACTCAACCACACGTTATGCAGAAGCCAAGGGAAAACCTGTCTGTTTTCATCTGTGTTTCGAGCACAGGGGGAAGTGCTTTCCCATGTGGGGACTAAACACAGCTGAGACCAAACCCAAAATGGGGGTTTGAACTAGATGATCTTTAAGGTCCTTCACAACCCAGACCATTTGATGACTCTTTGCTTCTATAATTAATGATGCTCTAAGTTCAAGTCACCTTGGACTCTTTAGGATGCTCTGTGCTAGCCAGGTTCAGTCATGGACCATATCCTGTGGGGGGTGATAAATGATAAGGAGATGAGAATCTCCCAGAAGGAATTTTAAGGGGCATATTGCCATGGGGAAATCCTAGTGCCTGGTAAGAGTGTGTCTCTTGAATTTTTCCTTCAGTTTGAGGATGGGTAAATATTTATCAGTGATAAACAGCCAGTTAGAAATTTAGAGACATATCCAAGACAAATAAAGAGGGATTTGCCCAACTTGAAATCAGCAGGAGGTGGTGATGGGCTTATTTTTCAATCCCTGACACCAGCAGGGACCACCACATTCCTCAGTCAGGATTCTCTCTGGGGGTGAAGCCAGAGGCTCCATCAGCAATGCTGATGTCAGCTGAATGAACACTTACCGATGGTCCAGGATATCCAATCTCTCCTTTCTGACCAGGTGCCCCAGGTTCTCCTGCATCTCCCTAGAGACAAAGAGCAGAGAAGTTCTACCTGTGAACATCTTCAGGAGGAATGCCAGGAGCACTTGGGGGAAAAGATGTGTACATCTTTTCAGGGCATTCACGCAGAAGGGGAAAGTTGTGCCACGATCCAACTTACTCTGCGGCCTCTGTTTCCTTTTGGGCCGGGGCCTCCGGCAACACCGCGGTCACCAGGCCCACCCTGGTTGGGGAAAAACACAAATTATAGCTCTTGATCTGCAGGATCATGGCTACACTCCGTGGAAAAGGAATGCACAGCCCATGGGCTGCACCCTACCTTGGGCCCAGGGTAGCCTACGAAGCCACGTTCTCCCTGAAACGACAGAAAGGTTTGTTTGAGTGTGTTTTAGAAAATGCCCTCCTCCATCTGCACTGGAGACCTTGGCAACTTCCCTGTCTTTGTTAAGGAGGTGGGCACACTGAGCATACACCTACCTTTCTGCCTTTAGGACCTGGGCCACCAATTCCATCTCGTCCATCATCGCCCTAAAATCAGAAAGCCAAAGTTGTTAATATGAGTCATATTAAATAGCTGAAACCCCACATGTCCAGCAGCATCAACAGAAAGAACCCACTGAAGCTACAGGTCTTTGAGAAACTCTTAAAGGTTCCTAAGACTTCTTTAAGTGTCCCCAAAGGTGTGAGGGCGTGGTCACACTTACCATCTCCCCTCGTGGGCCCGGCTGTCCATTCGGCCCTTTGGGTCCAGGGTTCCCAGGCTCACCCTGCGAACAGGAGCATCTGTTAAAGCATGTGCTGGAACTCCAGGCAGCTCTGAGCCTTTCCCACCCCCCATCAGCACTGGTTTCTTTACCCAAACCAGTCTGCAGTGGTCCTTGTGGCAGAAAGGCACGGCTGGACCTACACAGCCAGCAATTCTGGAAAATTCTTGCTCTTTAGTGGGGCCTTTAGTGATTTCAGGAAAGATAAAAATCATATGGAGGGTCTGGAGAGATCCAGCACAACCACCTTCCCACGTGGGCATCCTCTGAGAATCTGCCCAGTTCCTTGATGACTTTTGCCCCTCTGTTCAATGAAACAGGAGCCTAATGAGACAACCAGAGCAATGACCTTGCTTCACTCCACACTGTACAAGCAAGAGGTCCATCTCATAGATTTTTTTAAGCTCATGCAAAATCCAGAAGCTTTTCAATGCTGTTTTGGTTGCTGATGCCAAGTGGTCATGAAAACATACCTTCTGTCCCAGGGGGCCGATCCTGCCACGCTCTCCTGGGGTTCCTGGGGGTCCACCACCAGCCTGGAATGGAAATGGGGAGAGGCATGCTGTCAAGAAAACTTGGGTACCAGAAACCAGGGGTTGGGGTGACCACAGAAAATCATGTACTGACTAGTAGGGTTGGTGCCTCTCAAAACACCTTGGGAAATTTAGAAGTCTAATTCATGAAGAGTTGGACACCCAGCTCAGATCAATAAAAATGTCAGCAGCAACCTCATATTGCCCTTAGAGACCCCCCAACTCTGGGAAAGCAGGAGGGGAAAAAATCATGCTGGGGATGGGGAAATGCAAGATTGTCTGGCTTTATGTCCATGCAGTAGAAGAGAGAAATAAATACATGGGGTCCCCAGCAAGCATTTGAGATGGTCATGCTCTGGCTTCAGAGGTTGAAAGGTCACAGAAAATGCCCTGCCAGTCACTCAGGGGTGCTCTTCAACCAAAATGGTAAACCATAACAGGTCAAACGCTGAAGTCCTGACCCCTCTGTGGTTGCTTTTAACTTTTTTTCTTCCATAACTCTTGATCAAGAAATCTTTAGCGTAAGTTGAGAAGAGAATCATGCTGGAAGAGTGTGTTATAAGAGAGTGGAACAGAGCTGGAGCCCTAGGGAATGGAAAGACACATTGGCTTAATCTTGTTAGTTCAACAGGGATATTGTTGGGTCAATGCCTGAGAAGCAGCAGAAGGTTTACCCTGGGTCCAGGAACACCCTGCTCTCCTCTTATGCCTGGTGTGCCAAGCTGGCCAGGCGGGCCCTGCATGGAGAGAAAAGAGAGACTGTCAACACACAGAGGCAGAAACACACCAAGTCCCCAAGGAAAGCAAACGCTGCAGCCCCTGAGAGGTGGTTCCTAAACTCATCACACTGCGGGTGGTGTGAGCACACCAGGCTTGATGTCCCAGGGCAGCACACCCAAAAACACCCAAATCCTGACAGTCCCCCTGCTGATGAGACCCTTTGGGTAAGGGGCTGTGAGGAAATGACACAGCAGCCCCAGGAGGCAGGACATTTGCCCTGCTGCAGGCTCACTGACCTGAGGCCCTCGCATGCCTTGTTCTCCAGCCGGCCCCGCCTGACCCGGAGCGCCCTTGGTGCCCTGCAAGTACACAACAGGTTGGCATGGCAGGAACATGGTCATCATCATGCCAAGGGAAAGGAGATCTCAGGGCATTTGCAACTGCACAAAGAGCAGGGAAAAACAGATTTTTTTTTTTCTCTGGGGGGGAGGAGGGTTGTTGTTTGGTTTTTTTCTTGGTTTGGCTCTTTTTTCAGGATATAGTTATAGCAGAGAATAAGCACAGCATGGGTGGGGTAATGTGACCCCTACAATCAATGGGCATCAACCCCCTTTATGTTTTGGCCCTGTCACACTGCTCCAGCAGCACGTGGAGACAAAACATCTGGCCAGGGAATGCTGCACAGGACAGGCAGCCCCAGAACGGCTGGTTCTGCACCCAGTCCAGCTCGAAGCATGCAGGGAGATGAGCCTGAGCAGGAGGAGCACGGAAATCTAGGGGAGAGAGCAGGTGAGAGGAACAGACCCATCTCCTGGCACATGTCTTTGGGTGCTGGGGCTGCCTGGCCCATGGTGTGGCAGGAGCTTGAAGTGCTGTCCCCATCACCACTTACCTTAACCCCTATCTGTCCCCTTCGTCCTGTCATACCCTGGAATGGAGAAACAACGAGGTTTGTTACTGGAATATGCAACCACACGATTCTCTATGGCTTTTATGTCCATATATCTACTGTTGCTCTGAGTCCAAAATTAAATTTGAATTGTTTAAACTACTGGGGACAGAGGGAGAGAGAAATCTTCATGGTCAGCTGTCTCTAATCAACCTCTGGCATGTTTTCTCCCCCCTCACGTCCCCCAACACTCCACCATGTAGGTGTGTTGCAGGACTGTGTCACCATCCCTGGGATGGGAGCAGGGAAGGCATCTGTAGATGTTCCAGCCACACCAGCTCCAGTTTGGCTTTCTACCTTTTCAAAACCAGCAGCCCAATGCAGATGCATATCACAGCATCATGGAATGGTTTGGGTTGGAAGGGACCTTCAGGACCCTAATTCCCACCCCCCCTGCCATGTTGCTCCAAGCCCTGTCCTTACATATAAATCAGGTGCAGCTCCACTGATCTCAGCACTGAGTTATTTGCATGGGAATAAATTCAGGGTCAGACCTTTAAAGTCTCTACAACAAGCAAGGAAGCCCTCAGGCTTTTTCTTTTTGAGCTTGGGTGGGTTTGTTTTGGGTTTTTTTTTCCTCTGTTGGTTTTTGAGGTTGCATTCCTGATGGTTGTGAAACAAAATACGTGGGAAGGAGGAGGGAAAAAGTTCTTGTCAATCTAAGCTTGGCCCCCTGCTGACCGGGGTCTGGCAGCTCACCTTCCTCCCGACTCCACCGTCTTGGCCCTTGAGCCCTGGCAGTCCTGGTTCTCCCTAAGGGAAAAACACAAGTCAAGTGAGAGCCCTGAGCTGAGCAGGCACTGGGAAAATAGGATTCAGTTCTCAAAACCTGCATCCTTTCATGTTCTCACACGAGGTACTTAATAGTCCTGCATTGGTCACAGAGACTTCCCATCAAGTTTCTGAGCCAGCACAATTTGACATCCCCATTCTTTGGGAGTGCCTTCTGACATTTTAAGGTGCATTTTTATCCTGAGCTGATTTGAAAACAGACGGGTTTTGAAATTTTCCAAAGAGAGTGTGGGGTTTTTCCCCCCCCCCCAAGGTTTCAGGTGAATCAGGAGGTTCAGATTTGGTATCATCTAAACAGTTCTCTGTTTCTGTTTATGACCCACAAGAACATGTGAAGTTAATTTCCATAAACAAAGTTGTTTTCAGTGAAAATATCAAAAAAAGACATTGTAAAGTAACAAATTTTTTTTTAAAAGGCACTTTCTATGCAAAACATCTTCTAAACTGACATCTTCACAGAGAAAGTTTTAGTTGCAAATGAGCAACATTTTCCAGAAATGCTCTGGAAACATCTTCTGGAAAAAAACCCATTACATCTGACAAGGCATGATGAGTTTAAGAAACCTGCACCTTTTTGGCAGCACCCTTTTTCCTTACTTTTTCTGTGCCACCCTATTGTAAAAACCAAACAACAACACAAGACAACAAAGAAATTTTACCATTGGTCCAATTTCACCCTTCTGGCCTCTGGAGCCCCGTTGAGTGTTATCAGCTCCTGAATCTCCCTGAAAGCAACAGAGCAATGAGAAACATCTGTGTAAGTGGGACACAAAAATCAGGCATCATAAACTAAACTGCTCTGCTAGAGCTCAGAACCAACTTTTATTTTTTTCTCTTTTTTTGACTGAAATAAATGAAGTATTATTGTTGTTTTCAGGCAGACACAGCTTTTCAAGGGAGAAATAATAACACTGAAGAAGGGGAGGAAGGGGGATTTTAATATAGTGAGATGGTGATTGGCAGGTGGGTATCAAGAGCCACGTGGTGCCCACATGTCACCTCCCAGCTCCTGCTCTGTCACTGGACCTGCCACTGTCCAGCACCATTTAATTAGCCGTATGATGACCCCCAGGAGCGGTGGGAAGGGGGTGTCAAACCAAGCAGATGCCTCAGCAGTATTTACCGGATCTCCACGGAGCCCACGGTCACCTCGCTCTCCTCGTTCGCCTTTAACTCCCTTATCACCCTGCAGGAAGACACAGAGGGTTGGGAGAGCAGCCCTGGCCTGTCAAAAGCATCTCTACCCAGGCCCTCATCCCTCTACCCATCCTCTCCCCTGGCTTGAATCCACCTTGACACCACCCCTTAGCCCCGCTGAAGGAGTGGTTAAAATCCTACCCTCCTTCCAGAGTATCCCTTCTCTCCAGAGGAGCCAGGCAAACCCTTGTCTCCCTAAAAAAAAAAGAAAAATATTTCAGCGTATTTGCCACCTCCAAGGTGCTCCTCGAACACGCCACTGAAGCATGTTGATACAAAGAGCAAAGCCTTTAAAATGACTGACCTCTTCTCCATCAATACCATCCAGGCCCATTTCTCCCAGTTCACCCTGTGGATGAGAGGCAAAGGGCAAATGCTGACTGAGGGAAAAGGGAACAGGGGGATCCAGCTGTGTCCAAACATTCATGCTCACCGCCGTGGCGGGAGGGAATTGCTCCCTACCTTCTCTCCTGGGAATCCACGAGAACCCTAAAGAGATCAGAAAAGGGAGTTACTCCATTTTTGTCCGGTTCATTGCTGTGGAAAGTGGTGGAGAAGGAGGGTTGGGCTTGGTGGCAGACCCAGAGCCAGGACCAGGGTAAGACTTTGCCTATTTCCTCTTATGCCAACATTTTTCTTCAGCTGCCTCCTCACGGTTTGTGCCAAGATAAAATATGTGGATTGTGGGGTTAATCCAGCTTATCCAATAAAATAGCTCACTCCTTAGCCACAACTCTTTCCCCACTGACTCTTTTTTCTCCCTGCACCCACTTTTTTATTAATCTAGAGCCAGTCCTGATGCCTTTGACAAGGCTGGACAGACTTTTTAAGAGACTCAGTATCTCAGCTGCAACTAAAGGGCTTGGTTCATGCACTCCTTTTCTCCCTGACAGAGGATCCTGGGGTCAGAGCAAATGGAAACACCCCCTTAGTTTCACTGAGTATTTCCCATAAATATTATATGTTTCCCCACCTTTTCTGGCTGCTGTCCTGAGCCATTAGCTCGAGGTTCCTCTTTAAAGCTGCAGCCATGGCTCACTTGTCTCCCTCCACCCCAACAGCAGATTTCCATCCACACACTGTCCCAGCTCTGAGCCACTTTGGGGTGTTGTGAAGAGATCCATCTCTTCCCAAATCTTTTCCCAGAGCCTGACTGCAGAAAATAGCCTTGTCTGTGGATTGAGCCTGGGTATCTCTGGACTTTCCTTTCACTCTTCACAGCAACACTAAAGCCACGACTCGTGCTGAAAGCCTTGGTGCTTGGCCAGGTGGGCACCACCACTGGAGTGGACGTGGCAGCTGCTGTGTCACCTTCTAAAGCAGCAGGAGCTGCCCTTGGTGGACTCCCACCCACTGGACTCTGGGTCTGCTCCGTGCAGGCTGGTGCCACACATACCTTTGTTCCTCTGTGCCCGGGGCATCCCTGGAAACCCTGTGTCCCGTTCACACCCGGGGGTCCACGCTCACCCTGTTGCGTGGAGGGGAAAAAGCAATGGTCAGGGTTTGCCTGCTAAGCATGTTTCTGTGGCTAACTGCTACAGGAGGCACAGGAGCAAATGGAACATCAGGTTTTGCTGGATCACCCCACCATCTGCTGCCTGCAGCATTCCTGGCGTAGAGACCAACTGCAAGGCCTTATTTATCACTGGGAGAGAAACACCCTTCCCAAACCCTCAGCTACGAAAGAGCTTTATAAAACTTCTCTTTCAAAAATGAAATGACGAGGTGAAACCCCCAGAGCTCTGCACAGCCACCTAATCCCACCCTGGCCTCCAAGCCCCAGGAAAACACCGCACTGCAGGCAGTGTCTCACTGCAGCCCTTGGCCCCGGCCTGTGCTGTTGGCCTCGGCTTCACCTCCCAGGAGTGATGCAGGGGATGATGTTTATTGCAGGGGTGACGTGGGATTCACGAAGAGTTTGGATGAAGCAGTGCTAGTGAGAAGTCATGGGACTCATGTTGTCTGCCATGTGACGGAAACATCCCTCTTGGTTCCATCCTTGGACTTGCTCAAGTCTTTCAGCTGCAGGAAAGCTCTGGCATAGGCTGCAGCTTTGATGAAGCTGGGGATTTTATTTGCCTTGGAGGAACAGCACAGGCCTGGGTCACATCAAGTAATGGGAGTTCTTCCCCTGTCATGCCTGTCCAGCTCTCAAGAAGCTCCTGACTGACTTTATCCCAGGAGCAGCTGGGACCTGAGCTGCTACTCAGGCTATCAGGAGGGGGCACCTCAAAGTTCTGCTTTCTGTCTCTTCTAACCCTCACCCACCTCCCCAGCAGAAAATATTTAGTGGAAAAGCCTCTAAATGCTTTGCTGTGGTGAGGTCCCTGCTTGAGCAGGGGCAAGCACTCACCGGTCCTCCTTCATCACCGGGATAGCCCGCGTATCCAAGGTCACCCGTGACACCCTGGAAGACAACAGAGAGAATTATGCATTTCTTTCACAGTTCTGTGATTGATATTCAAGATTTCCCTCGATTTGCACAAAGCAGCCGCTTGGTCATCCGTGTAAACAAGTTAATGAGAGAAACTATCTCCTTTTAACATCCCTAAATTGTTTCACAAGATGCTTCACCTCCTCCTTTCAGCCACTCATCCCTGCCCTCTTGGATATTTCACAACACAGAGGCTGTGGGGAAAGGGAAGAAGAGCAGCTCTCAACCCCCAGTGCATGCATCAGAGTCAGTTTTAAAATGAGGGGAGTAAGTGGAGATGATCTCCCCATTAACAACACCCACAGCTCACCCACCCATCACCACCGGGGTCCCTTGCACCTTTTGTCCCCAGACGAAGTGACCTACCTTTGGTCCTATGGGGCCTGGCACACCTCTGTCCCCTCTCTGTCCTGAGCACTTGCACGGGACCTTGCAGCACGTCCTCTCTGCGATGTTGTCCTGCAGCAAACAGCACAGGACACAACAGGAAGGTGTGTTGGCAAGACTGGTCAGGTTACATGGTTAGGAAGCAGAAGCCAACACTGTATTTTGGACATCAGAGGGAAGGGTTTAAATGGGAACTGCGTGGGGCAGAATTCCTAGAGTGCATTTAGCAGGAGATCAGTCCCCAGAGCAGAGCCTGTCACTGAAGAGAGAAATCTCATCTCCAAAGAAACCAACCCAGGATGTGGAATAGGTCACGAGACAGTTGTGGCAGTGAGCAGCTCACCAGCAACATGCAGGCTGAGAATGATTTGTGAATACATAATAAAAGACAAAAAAAAAAAAATAAAAAAGAAAGATACGGGCTCAGAGAAATTGCAGCTGGTTTTTGCATCATCCAGCAGAAAGAAAAAAAAAAAAAATCACTTTCTTAGCCAAGTACATTGCTGGCTGCAAATGTTTCCTGCCAGCTTTGCACATTTACATTTTGGAAGGGTTTTCCCAGGCTGAATTACTCAGGGATGGGCTCAAGACTAGCTCTTACCCCAAAACCCAAGGTTCGCTCCCAAGTGGCAGCACTTTGATGTGCGGGGAAGGGCTCAGCAAGATTACCATGGGGATCAGTGGCTAAGCCCAATCTTATTAAATCTACTGCAAAAGGAGCTCAATCATGATGGTAGCAGCTGAGAAATTGGGAGGAACTGGACATTCCAAGGTTGAGAGCAAATAACAAAACAGACTCAAGAGGATCTATGTATATGTGAGGGCAGTAATCTGTGGAGAAAGAATCATGGAAAGGGTTGGATTGAAAGGGACCTTAAAGGATAACTCCTTTGTCTGTCAAAAGCACGTCTGAAATACAGTGACTTATAGTTTGTTTGCTTTTTCTGATTACATAAACACTAAGCAGAAACTAACCAAACAGGATCTTGGGGAAAGAAACCTAGACAGCAGTGCCTCTGCAAGAGGCCAGGTATGACAGGGCACTACCATAAGGTTAAAAACCCCAACAGCAGAAATACAGGCAGAGGGTAGATTTTTGGCATGGCAGCCCTGCAGGAGATCCAGCCACGGGCTTTCCTCCAGCATTACAAGGCAGCGCTGCCTGTGCCAAGGTACTTACGAGCTGCTCTGCCAGCTCGAAATCCAGGTCCAGCAGATTAACTCTGAGAGGTCTGTTGTAGGTGAACCCACGGCCGAACTCCAGCTGCATCACTCTGTCAAAATTGCTCACTCGGTCCAGCCCCACGAAGATGAGAGCGCTGACACCTGGAGGGGAGAGGAGCAGAGGGGGCTTTGGGACGGGGCAAGGTGCTGTGCAGAGCCTGCACACCCTCCCCTGTGCTGACACATCCTCATCCACCTCTCTGATTGCAAAGGGAGCTTATTTGACTGAGAACAGGCACATTCAGTGCAAGATACCCCCGTGCTTAGGTGGCAGCAGGCAGCTGAGTACCACAGGAAAGCAGTGAAGAACAGCCAGTGCCTGCAGAACTCGTGAAACCCTTATTCCTTACTGCCAAAAGCCAGTGGATTCATGAGAAATGGGGGTAAAATGGGCCACATGCTAACATGGACTGTAATCACTGCTTTGAAGAGTAAAAGGTTTACCTTCTGCATGCAAAGTAGATGAAGCAGTCTCCAGCTGATCTATTGGGGCGTCTGCACCATCAGTAAAATGGATTATGACCTGGGAGAGAAGAAATAAGTTTATGTCACAAAGTTTCAGAAACACGATCAAAGTGCAACCTGAAGGGCCTTTTTTTCCAGGGGACGCTTCATCTGAGATGAGGTGGGGGAAATGTCCTGCCTTTTCCAGGCCATTTTTTTTTTTCCAGGCATTTCTGTGCCAGGTTCCTGCACACTGTCTCATGCAGGTGTGCCTGTTGCTAGAGCATGGTCAGGGAAATGCCTGGAGAGCAATAGTTTGCAGCCAAGCAGTGGCTGTGGGCACTGGCTGCAGCGATGCTCGGTCAGCTGTCAGGACAGCACCCTGACAATGAAGTGAAGAGTGCAGGAAACAGGCAGGGGTTTAAGTGAAACATTATGAGTTTACAGTCTTTTTTTTTTTTTAAATACACCAGAAGCCAGCACCCCCCAGCAGCTGTGGATCTGACCCACCTTGGCGCTGCCGGAGGGCGAGGATCGGAACTTGCTGAGGTAGGAGCTCAGCGTGTCGGCCGTGAGCACGTAGGGCCCGCGGCCCCGCATGTCCCGGAACCTCTCGAACAGCTCGGGCTGGTACTCGGAGAAGTCCAGGCCCTCCACGGGCCCGCCCTGCGCCTGGGCCATGACGGCCACCCTGACGTTGGGTGCCTGGTTGCCGGTGCAGCTGATCCTCTGCATCTGCGTTATCCTGTTCAGCACCGACTCGACCCGCGACTCCAGAGCCCGCTGGGAGTTGAATATGTTCTGGCCGGGCCCAACGTCCGTGACATCAAAGCCCAGGATCACATCCAGGTCACAATCTGAAAGGGAAATGCATCATTGAGCAGCGTGATGATTGTTTTTCAGGTAATGGCTTTTTTGGTTACTCTTTTAGTCACTGGCGACATGAAGACATTCTGCATCGAGAACTGCCACCACTTGATACACAAGTGCCTTCTATTTCCTTTCACCATAGCAATGACAACCTGGAAAAATTTGCATTTTATTAATTTTAACTTTTTTTCTTTTTCTTTTCTTTTTTCATTGGGAGGAGCTGCCTAAAACAAGTCCAAGAGAAATTTTCATTTTCACCAGGCAGCCAAGACTGTTCCTTTTTTTCCACAACATGAAAACCTGTCAGTACTTGCACAGTGTACCTATACCCTTTGCCTGTGCTTGAAGTGACAGTCCTCCAGCCTCAGGGATGCAGAGGGAGGTGACAACCAGGTAACTGATCCCAAATCCCTGGGAAGTGTAGCTAGGATTTACATGGCATAGCTGGGAATTAGGAAAGAAACAGGATTTGAAGATGCTCAGCCCAAGCTAACAAGGTGATGCCCAGTCTGCCTTTCTGCTGGAATATTCAGTGTGGGCAGTGGAACCACCCTGCAGCCATCAAGCTGCCCCTTGGTCTGGAGCATGGGGAAATCAGGCTGCTTCCCACTGACAGAGGGCGGGGTCAGATGGTACTCTGGGAAGAAATTGTTCCTGGTGAGGCACTGGCACAGATTGCCCCATTCCTCAGCACACTACAAAAGAACCGTGCTTACCTCTTGTCACCTCCGTTACTCCTGGGCACAGCTTCTCCTCCATAGCGGCTTCCAGCGTGACCAGGACCTGCTCGTTGAGCTCAGACAGCTCCTGGGCTGTGGATGCTCTGAAGCTCGTGGCGCTCTCGCTGGCCAGCATGCTGACTTCCTTCAGGTCGATGTTCCTCACGCCCACTGCGAACACCTTCACGCCTTTCTGTGTGATTTCCTGCGAGGCCCTGGGCCCGTCATCCGTGGACCTCCCCCCCGTGACGATGAAGGCGATCTGGGGCACCCTCTGGTCGATCCTGCTGCCGGCCTCCTTCACGAAGTGCCTCTCCTGGATGTGCTTGATGGCAGCGCCAGTGTTTGCCACACGCCCGCCTTTGTAGATGACTTTGTTGATCGCGTCTAAGATCTGAGGTTTGGTGGAGTGGTCCTTGAGGAAAAACTCGTCGGTGACATCTGAGTTGTACTGGGCCAGTCCCACCTGGATAGAGTCCCCATCCCTATAAATGGCGTCCACCACAGAGTAGACAAACTGAAGAACTTCCTGGAAGTTATCTCTCCCCAGATTGATGGAGCCATCCAGCAAAAACACAATGTCAGCCTGCTTTTTACCTCCTGAAAAGAAATCACAAACACAGTGGTTAACAATTGTTTGCAGCATCTATAATATTAAAGTGGCTCAGTGCTTTGTGAAGCATCACTTTGCAAGGTGAAGTTTCCCTCTCTTTTCTGCCATTTTAGTTTCATCAACCATTGGCAGGATTTTGCATCCACACAGGAAGAAAGGTTTTGTGTAACACTTCATACAGCATTACTTGTTTTTGTGATAGACACCCTCACCTCCTTTCAGATTTAATTCCATTCTTTCCTGTGCTCAGTAAAATCTATTTCAAAGTGTTCTTTTCATCCATGTGACTAAAAGGGACGGGAATCAAAAGGTGTAACTAGGGAATCATTTTCACACTGTACAGATACAATCTGTGCTCTGTTCAGAGAAGTCTACCCGAAGAATAGCAGCCTTACCAGGTAAGAATGGTCCAGGTATTTCTGTTGTAGGTACTGGAAGCTCTTCGAGAATGTTCTGTACCCTCTTTTCTAAGGTTGAGAGCCCTGTGAAGTCCTGTACCACCAGCACGCGCTCAGGATCGCTGGTGATGATCTGCAGCTGGTCCCTGTCCACATTCCTGGCTCCAACACCCAGGGGCTTGATGTTGGTTGAGGTGATCACGTTAGCAGGCCTGTTCACGTCGTCCTGGGAGCGGTCCCCGAGGATGACGACGAGGTGCTGGGGCACTCCATCTTCTATCCTGCTCCCCGCAGACCTGATGAAGTAGTTCTTCACCACGTAGTCCAGGGCTTTGCCAGCGTTCAGGGGGGACCCCCCTCTAAGCCTCAAACGGCGGATGGCTTGCAGGACGGCATTTTTGGACTTGTGGGTCTTCAGGTAGAACTCGGGGAAGACGTTGTTGCTGAACTGCACCACCCCGATCCGCACTTTGTTCGGCCCCACTTCCAGCTGCTGAACGATCCTGCTGATGAAATCCCGGATGTGAGCGAGCCCGTCAGGCCTGACGCTGTCGGAGCTGTCAATGAGGAAGACTATGTCCTTCTCCTCACCAGAGATATCTGCGGGGAAGCAAGAAGAGAGGAAATTACCAGCGTGCCAAGCCTTTGCTGGAGGATTTCTGCGCTATCTGCTCTCGTGTGAGATAAAGCCATGTGGCATATTTTAGTCAGCTTTAGTCATGGTGTTCTGGGGAGCCTCTCCAAAAGGGTTTGTGTGCAAGCGGGCATGTGTGTGCTAACAGTCTGCCTGATATTTGAAGCATGCCTCACTTAGAACCTCATCTGTTTTGTTCATTAATACTCTTATCTGGATTTGACAATGTTTCCATCTTTATACCTGTTTCCTAAGGAGTTGCTAGATAGGAACAGGCAACTGCACACGTTGCAGAATTTGAACTGAAAACCTAAAAAGGCAATGTATTGACCTGAAAGTTATAAGTTATGATGTATTTTAGGTAGTTGGGTAGAATTTCCACCTATCTGAAAGTTTCCTTCCAAGACTGTACACGTGCTGCATGTTTGCTTTTATCTAAGGAAAACCTCAAAACTTAAGGGAAGTTTTTTTGGGGCAACATTTACTTGAGTAGCAACTCAGAGATGGTCAGTCCTGACAGCACCTTACCTATGGGGGGCTGCACATCTCCCAGCAGCTGCCTGATCTGGTCCACAGTCAGGGTTTCAATGGGAGTCAGCAGCTTCTGCTCGAGGCTGGGCAGCTCCTGGAAGCTGGAGACTTGGAACACGTAATCGGGACTAAGGGAAATCTGCACCATCTCCTCGGTGTCCACGTTCTTTGCTACCATCATGGGCGCCACCCCCACTTGCTTGACCTGGAGCGACGGGGACTCGAAGTCGTCGTCGGACTTGCGGGAGGAGAGGATGATGAGGAACTGAGGGACGCCCTCCTCTATGCGGCTCCCGGAGGGCCGGGTGAAGATGGTCTTCGCCACGAACTCCAGGGCCTCCCCCACGTTCACCTGCTGGCCGCCCTTCGACCGCAGCTGCCTCACGGCGCTCTGCACCTCGTCCTTGGTGGAGTGGGTGTTGAGCAGGAACTCCACGTGGGGGTGCTCGCTGAACTGCACCACCGAGATCCTGGTGGTGTCAATGCCCACGTCCAGGTTGCTCACTATCCTCCCGATGAGGTCGCGGACGAGGTAGAACTCCTGGGCGGCGTGGCGGGAGCCGTCGACCATGAACACAACGTCCCTCTTCACGCCCGCTGCAGGAGAGAAGGCAGTGGTCAGAGCTCGGGGTCCAACACAGGGACAGGACCAGTCTGCTAGGCACATCCCCAGAGGGTGCAAGAACAGCAACTTCCAGAGCAAAGGAAGCAAGAGGGAGCAGGGGACACTTGGAACAATAATTCCTTGCGGGATGTCCACCCAAGGAAACATGTCCTGGTGATAGTCCTTACTCAGGGCAGGTTGCTAGGCAGCCTGGAATGGTTTTACACTCAGAACCACCCCTCTTTCTTTGGGTTTGTCCTCTAGGAAACTTTCTATCTTATTATTCTCTCAGCTTCTGCCTTTCCAGGATGGCTTTTTGATTCCTAATTAAGTGTTTCCTGCAGTGGTAATTCAGGTCAGAGCTCAAATTATTGCAGTACATCTCCCTGATAAGTGGGGATGGAGGAAGGTGGTCTGGCTTAGAAGGGAAGGAACAGACAGAGAGCAGAATGGTGAACTGCTAAGGGACTGATCTGGGGTATTCTTCATCTCAGGCATAACTGGCTGTATTTCACTCCGAGTGAGACCAGAAATGGAAGATCTGATCCTTTTCCTGATGCTCACTTCAAAGTCCCCTTCCCCTGGTGAATGAGGGTGGCAAATATAAGAAAAATCAGCAAGTCTTTCATTTAGCAGAGAGCTGACCTTGATTTATAGTAGTGTGACGGTGTTCCTGTTGCATCTAAATGATGCAATTTCCATTCCAGAAGGAACAGCATGGACTTAAAATCCATCCACTTAAAACAAGATTAAGGAAATAGCATTCACTTTATGGGTCTTCCGTGTGGATATAGCATGGACCACCTTGAGAGGCTGGGCTTAAAGGTGGCTCAGCTTAATTACACAGCTCCTACCAACCCTGAGCAGTGCACCAACAGTGAGACCAAGACTGACTTGGAGTCTTAACCGTGACCATCTCTGCTTTTCTCGGTTTGTGTTGCAACCATGATGTTACTAAACATCATACTTTGCCACTGGCTCTCAGTGCAGACACAAACATCTTCTCACCTGGGCTGGGAGATGTGAAAACCAGGTCAGGGGCAAGGGACTCTATCTCTTTCTTGGTCAGCCGGATGACTCTGTTCGAGACGACCTGCTGCACCGAATCCAGCTGGCTGAAGTCGGGCACCGAGATCGCAAAATCCGGCAGGAAGGAAATGGTCTGCAGCTCTGTCAGGTCAGCATTTCCAATCCCAATGCCGAAGGGCACCGTGCCACTCGTCTTCAGGACCACTGAGGGCCTCCTCACGTCGTCCTGGGAGCGGTCAGCAGTCAGCAGGATCAGGAACTGTGGGACGCCCTCCGCTATCCTGCTGCCGCTCGACACCGTGAACACATTCCTGATGAGATAGTCGAGGGCTGCTCCAGTGTTCAGAGGAGACCCTCCCATAACCTTCAGCTCCTGGATGGCGCTGATGAGATCTGCCTTGTCCTCGTGGGTGTCGAGTAAGAACTCAGGCTGTATGATGTTGCTGTACTGCACGACAGCCACACGGACCTTGTCCCGGCCCACATCCAGGCTTTCCACGACCCTCTGGACAAACGTCTTCAGTAAAGGGAAGCCTCTTCTGACACCATCCGAGCCATCGATCAGAAACACCACGTCCTTCTTCTCACCTCTCTCAACTACTGTTTGAGACAAGCAAGGGAAGGGGGGAACAGGTGAGATGCTGTTTTGCAGTGATTAATACTCTCCAAAGGAGCACAAAAGCCCGGGGAGGGGAAAGCGAGGTGTTGGGACAAGTGGTTCAGCTCCTTTGCCATCAGATCCAACCCCTGGTGGAGAGGCAGATGGGTGGAAGTCGGTGGAAGACACAGTGCAGTGGATGCCACGCCTTACCCACCGGGTCATAGAATCACAGATCCAAAGGAAATAGGATGTCAGGGGACTCTGGGTGCCATCTCCTACCTGAGGCTGGGAGAAGCCACCTGCTCCTAAGGGAACTGGGAAGTTGGCACTGGCTTTGCAGTATGCAGGTGGAATCTGGGGCATCAGGAATATTCTGCTCCCAGGAAACACTGAGTCTTGGGATGAAATGGCATATCACAGGGAGATGGTTAAGAGAGGGAAAGAAAAGCTTTTCTGAGGCATCACTGAACTTAGAAACAAAAACTTCTGCACATGCCCAGAATAAAAATAAGAAATTGTTGAAAGGACATCCAGCTGAAAATGCTGAAATGCTCTTCTAAAATGTTAGATACTGCAGGGGAGGGGGGTTGTTGGTTGTTTGTTTGTTTGTTTTTACTATTTTCAGGCAGGGAAAAAAATAAATAATTATGACCAAACATTCTCTATTAAAAAAAAAAAAAAAAAAAAGAAAAAAGAAAAGGAAAAACCTCCAAGAACATGAATTGTCAAAGATCAGAGAATTGCTGACGGATTCTGCTACTGATCAGCAGAAAATTGCAAGACTTTGGCTTAACCAAGCAGAAAACATCCCTGGCTCTCAAACACACCAACTGCTGGACAGGATTCCCAAAAGTGTCTTGGCAGGAACATGATCTCTCCCTCTGAAGAAAATCTTAAATATCTGCTTATGAATGGTAGAAATATAAAGACATAACAAGGGCAGTTGAATTCTTAATGCAGCCTTCAGAACAAATGGATTATTTAAGAGGACTGTTGGAAACCTGATGGAACATCAATATAGGTGGGAAGAGGGAGCAGACATTGCCTGGTGTTTCAACTTCATATACTTCCTCTAAAATTCAGAAGCAGGGAAAAAGTCCTATTAAAAGTCTCTAGGTAGTGGATAAAGAAGAAAAAAATATGGATGCTCTAATGAATTGTCTCTCTTTTAGCCAAGAACAAAAGGAAAAGTGGGTAGGTGCAGCTATCAGTGAGCTCAACAGCACAGTTATCAAAAGTTCTTGGTGGTCCAAGGGATTCAAAATGATCTTGACATGACACAAATGGTTTGAAAAGGGAGGATGGAATTCAAGAGCACAGGTTGCACAAGTTTTTGTTGGGGCAGGAGCTGCACAAATACGGGAAGGGTAATGAATCCACATGGAAAAGGTGGGGTAAGAGATAATCAGGGGATGCCACTGGTGCACTCAGGTCATTTGGAGCAGACTGATGCTGGAGAGGATAGGGTGAAAATGTAGATGATGATCTACAAGGCCTACCAGGAAAGACTGAATGAGCTGGGTACAGACCTGGTGACATGAGGACAGAGACAAGACATGCATGGCACACAAAACACGGGAGTGAGCTGACATCTGAACCCTTCTGGAGTTGAAGGAGATGTAAAAGGCTTCAAGTGTCACTAAGGAGGCAGAAGCTGGACATTAAGGGAAAATGTTTACTGATACAGATCAAAGGGATTGATTATGGAGGCTGGGAAATCTCCACCAGAGGGTTTCCAGAACAGATTAGACCCATGTCAGCTGGTTCTGGACAAGAAGATCCTGTTGGGGACAAGGGCACGTAGCAGATGGCACCCTGAGGTTCCTTCCAGCCCTATTTCTTTTTTATGTTTCTATGATTCTAAGTCCATCTGCCCAGGACTTTTATGGAGAGATGACGTGGATGTCACTGCTCTTTTCCTCATCTCCACCTCCTGTTCGGAGATGAGGTAATGCTCAAATTAGGGCTGCCTCAGGAAATCACACAGCTGGACATTCATAATTTCCAGTACCACAGAGTGAATTTATAACTGGCAGTGTGATCCTCTTTGTGATTCTTTTTTAAATACTCTTCAATTAATCCATCTCATCTACTGAGTTCCAATCACAAGAGAGTGGAGAGCATTTTATTTATTGGTGCATAGGAACAAAACCTAGAAACTGCCATCATATCCTGTAAGAAACAACAGAGCAAGAGTGAATCCAGTGCTCTGTAGTGCTCCCTACTCCCTACCACTCCTCCAGAAAAGGGAGGATGGAAAAGGAAATTGAGACAAGCCTGTATCTGCTTCTTCTAGCCTTTGCCCAGCATTGCACATCAATTAATGCACTGTCTCTGGGGCAATGGCTCCTTCTTATTTCAGGTTTGTACCCATGTAACAGCACCAGCTGCAGCTCATCCAGCTGAAGAAAAGACCTTTCCCTTACTTATCTTTAAAATTCAGTTTGAACCTTAATACTTTGCTGGATCAGGGTCTGAGGAGAGGAAAACCTAAGTGCAACAGCATTTTCTACTTGTAATTGTTTTAAACGCCACCAGACCCAAATGCCTCAGTTGCCAATTGAGATGGGGCACGTTAAGCAATTCCTTTCAGCCTCTTGGAATCCCCGGGGCTCCCTGTACCTGTTGGCTGAAGCTGGACAGTTTTCAACAGGTTGACTATGTTTGGCTGGTACTCTGAAATCCGAGGGAGGGATTCGACGTTCACGATGAACTGCGGGGAGTAGACGATCCTTTCCAGCTCTGCGAGGTCGGCGTTCTTGGCTTTGATAGCAAAGGTCACGACTCCAGTTTGCTTCAGAACGTCTGATGGCTCCTCCACATCGTCAGCCGACCTCCCAGCAGCGAGGAGGACCAAAAACTGGGGAACCCCTTCCTCGATCCTGCTCCCAGCCTCCTTGACGAACAGCCTCCTTATGGCCTCATCGAGCGCGGCTCCGATGTTCAGCTGCTTCCCGGTTTTGATCTTCATCCTTTTCACTTTGAGGAGCATGTCTTGCTTGGACGTGTACTCGGCGAAGTCAAACTCGACTTGGACGGTGTCGCTGAACTGAGCCACCGCTACGCGCGTGGCGTCGGCGCCCACGTTCAGGTCAGAAATGACTTTGTGCACAAAGTCCCGGACGGCAGGAAAGCTGCCCAAGAGGTTGGCTGAGCCATCGATCAGGAATAAAACATCTTTCTTGCTTTCTAGAACAAATTCACAAATGAAAAGAGGGGGGGAAAAGAGATATGAAGGCATTTTTTTTCTCCTTACATGTCATCCTAGAAAACTTCTCTATGGGTCAGCTGGGTTTCAGCCTTTCAGTATTCCCATTTACCAAAGTATTCCAAGGTATATTACACAGGATTACACAGCCCCTTTGACTTATTTATCTGAGGAAGAAAGGGAAGCAAGAACACCTCCATCCTAAGACCCAGTAAATTCATGCACCAGACAGACACACCACATATTGCATCACACCAGATAAATTGGCTGATTCAGTGATGTTTAAGGTCTAGCAATACGTCAATAACACAAGCATGAAGTAAAACAGCAGTGTTGGGGTCTTTTTTCTATTTAAAGGCTCAGTAGAAGACAAAGAGAGATTAGTTCATACACACACACATAAAGCATGTTCTGTATCTTTTGCCATTTGCATCACAAGGAACAACTAAATCCAGAGGCAAGTTATGACTCTGGGAGGAGGAAAAGCCTTTTACCTGTTTCCATTTGATGCCCTTTTAATCTCATTGAATTCCCAAGATAAACCCAAGCATCTTGTGCCTGTCTTAACATCTTTCATATGAATCTTGATGGTCTTTCCACACTAACCAATCCTGGTTGTTCTCATGTCTTCATAGGCACATAGCCACAATAATGGAATTAGGGAGAAAATACCTGTTTAAAAAGGGTTAAACCTGCCAACAGCTTTTGGGTTTAATGTTGGAGGATAACACTGGGAGTCAAACCCAGCCTCTGTGACAGCCTGGTAACATCACTTTGACCAAGTGGTGCCTGGCTAGACCTCTGCTTCTCTGTGCTCTCTGGGGTGGCTTTAACCTTTCCACACCAGCCCTTGTGGTCAAAAGCTCGTGCTCCCATTGCCTGATTTAGTGCATGTAATGCATTTACAGGTTGTGTCACCATCATGGCAACAAAAAAGGGAACACCTGAGGCAGTGACTGGTGGGCATAGACTCACTCCAATCCTCTTTTGGTCCTGACCGACCAAAAAGCTTAAAATTGTGCTTTTAAAGCATGCTGGCAGTGACTTAAACAAAATGAAGGGCTGCCAGTGGCAAGCCATGTATTCACAGACTCACAGAATGGTTTAGGTTGGGAGGGACCTTAAAGGTCACCTAGTTCAGCACAGCCATAACCTCTTTGATGACTCAGGGCTTAGACAGATGCCAAAGTGTACACTGGAAAGGAGAAATTAACTTAAACAAGATCAACTTAATGCAGTCAACATGAAGGAAGATAGGTATTACCTGTTGGGGCGAGTGGAACCTCTTCCACACCTCCACTAACATAGGTTGTTATAGGTTTACTTAATTCCTGGGGTAAAGCTGCCAGAGCACTGAAATCATCCACAAAATACACCATTCTTGGATTAAAGGCAATCTGTTCAAGCTCTGCCTTATCCGCACTCCTAACGCCAACAGCAAAGGTCAGCACTCCGGCTCGAGCTAATTCATTGGAAACTTGCAAGAAGGGGTCTGCGGACCTCCCTGCCGCCACCAGCACTAGGACCTGCGGCACTTGTTCATTTATCCTGCTCCCACCGGCCTCCGTGAAGTGGTTCGAGAGCACAAAGTTCAGTGCGGAGCCAGCGTTCAGCACCGACCCCCCCCTGGGCCTCAGCTGCCCCAGGCGCTGGATTATGTCTGCTTTGGTTTGGTACGAGTACAGGGAAACTCGGTCTGGGGGGTGTCGCTAAATTGCACTAAGCCAACCCGGATTTTGTCACTGCCGACATCAAGGTCGTTAACTAGGGTGGCGACAAAGTCCCGCACAAAGGGGAAGTTGGCACTTCCGACGTTGAGGGATCCGTCCAAAAGAAAGATGATATCCCTTTTGGTTACTTGAACTGCGGTAGAGCACAGAAAACAACGTGAGACATCACGGCAAACAAACAAAAACGGAAATATCTTTCTCATGTGTGCATGCAGCGTACGCCGTACACGCATGGAGGCCTTGTTAGGAGAGACAGACAGAGAGAGGAGAGCAAGGGCGAGATCAGCACAGAGGTAACGAGGACCTTGGTGGAAATGCCTGAACTGGGCAGGGAAGGATTCTGACTCCTACTGAAAACTCTTCTCAATGTCAGGCTTATCAAGAGACACAGAGAGAGAGAGGTTAATTTTGGTGGAGCGACACCAAATTACACCTACAGACACCTTGCTCATCTGCAAGTCACCACAGATGAACCTGGGACTTCCCTGCAAAGCTTTAGGGAATTATATCGCTTTCTTTAATCGATTTAAAGTTTGCAGCTACAGACATCCATCTTGGGGGCTGGTGAAGGAGGAGAAATTTCCTACTTTGGGCAGTAACCAGCCAGTTCTCGGTTCCTTTTGAGGGTTAAACCCTTCCTGGGCTGCATCCCCAACACCTGTGCCCCAGCACACAGATCTACACCCCAAGAAACCACAGGACTATCACCCTGTGTTGTTTTTTCTTTTTTTGCTCTGAACACGTCATGTCCAGATCACAGACCAAAATGCCAAGATTTTAAATGAGATCTCAGAGAATTGATAACTCATCTAATTCATTCCTCCTGGATGCCTTCCTCCAAAGAGTTATTCAAAATTTATTTATGCCCATTGCTAATTCTGCCCATTGTTTTTCTCTTTAAAGCATTTATGGCTACATTCATCCATCCCTCTAGCTTGCCTTGTCCCTGTAAGCATGCTGTCCTATATATAAAATATATAAATACTGAGATATTTAAAACGAAAGGGGGGGAAAAAGGACTGTTTGGAATACAGGAATTGTTCTCTGATCTTACAGATTGTCATGGTTTACTGTATTTTTAATTTTTTTCCCAGAACAGTGCCATTCAAGGCCCAGGGTGAGACAATATCCAGCTAAAATGGAAGTGCCCAGTGTCAAAATCAGTTTTGTTACTGCTACTAATAATTTAAAGGAGTAGGATCTGATCCCTTGCTCATTATGTATGGGAATTGCTGTGAGTACAGTAGAACAAAAAGACTGGAAAAAAGACACAGCTGCTCAAATGAGCTTGAAACAGGGAAATATAGGAACATTTTGAATTTACACTGAAAAATAAAAATGCAAGATCTGGTGTATAGCCATGCAAAACTGTATTAGCAGGAAACACACTCTGAAACAAAACTTATTAAATGATAAGTCCTGTGATATGCATCTTAATTCAAGACAAGTATTGGTAAACTGACCTCAGAATGTCTGCTCTGCATGTAGATCAGCCATAGGCTTTAATTCTTTATGGGCTCTTTCCAAACATTCTGTTTCTTTTGCACTTGGTTTATAATTTTAACTTACTTTATAAAGTAGAAAAAATACAGACATGGTTCAACAGCCACTTAAGCTGATGGGAACTTCACTATTGACCTTACTGAGGGCTGGAAGAAGTCCTGTTTTTTTAATGCCATGAGACGGAAATGCAAGGTTCAAATCTGATCTAGCACAACGTGGATTCAACCCCAAGCATCTCTGTGGGGAAGAAATCCTGAGAAATCTGGTATAAAATCTCTGTGGGGAAGAAATCCTGAGAAATCTGGTATAAAATCTCTGTGCACCCAGAACATGTCTTGAAGTGCAGGGGAGACTCCCTCAAAAGCCACGACCCTGGCAGCTGGATTGCTTCCAAAGTCTACTGGTGTCAATGGCAAGACCAACTAAAAAGAATCCACTGGCTCCATGGGGCTCTGGATCATCTTCTGAACAGACTAAATGACAAACAACACTGCAGTATTCTCAGCTACACCTCTTAGGGCTTGAGTTTAATAAATTATAAGGAAATTGTAACTATGTTCTTAAAGGGCGAGTCTCAGTCCAACAGTGTCAGGGTAGCTTTCTCTGGACATTCTCCATGAACAAATGGGCTTATGTTCTTCACACCCCAGAGAAACTCCTATGTTCCTGAGCAAGTACCCACCACCAGTGATTCTCAAACTGAGGAAGAGATTTTAACATTCCCTGTGTGCCCCATTAATAGGTTACACAAACCCTAAGTGAGGGAAGACAATTTTTTGAACAATTTCAGTACCTATCTAGTAAAGCACATCTTCCACATCCAGGCCCTGGTGACAAATATGAAACAGGACAAAAACCTCCAGGGAGGGGTGATAAAGCTGTAACAACAACCGCACTACCAAGCTCACCAACCTGTTCATGCACTTACTGAACCGAGAGACAACGTTTAACCACGCTGGAACATGTGTTTGATGCTTTTTCCCTGCCCATTATCTACACATGGCAGAGAAATAAGGGTTGACAAACATATAAATTGTATTAATTAGAAAAAGGTAATTAACTACCTGAGGGTGGTTCTTGGACAATCAGCCCTCCTGAGAGCGTCCGGATAGGCGACAGCACCTGAGGTAGAATGGCTTGCATGAACTGGAGGCGGAAGTCCTCTGGGTTGAACACAAAATCTCTCTCGTGGGCGATCTCCTGGAGCTCTGCCAGGTCGGCGTTCCTCGACCCCACCGCCAGGGTCACTATCCGGTTCCTCTTCATCTCTGCCGCAGCCTGGTCCACAGCATCCATGGACTTACCCCCGGTGACGAGCACCAGCATGGGCAGCACCCCCTCCTCCACCCTGCACCCGGCGGCGCTGGTGAAGAAGTTGGTCCTCACGAAGTCCAGAGCGGAGCCCGTGTTGAGCGCCGTGCCCCCCATGAGCTTCATCCTCCTCACGTTGGTCATCACGTCCTTTTTGCTCTGGTGGGTGTTAAAGTAGAACTCCGGCTTCACCGTGTCTGCGTACTGCGCCACCGCCACCTGGATCAGGTCAGGTCCCACCTCCAGCCTCTGGACAATTTTGGCAACGAAATCACGGATTGAGTTAAAGGGGGCAGCCCCCAGAGCAGTTGAGCCATCTATCAGGAAGACTATGTCCTTCTTGTTCACTTCAATAACTGCAAGGAACACATGAACATCACGTTAGCAGAGGTCTTCGCCACACTCCGCATCATTTCTACATCAACAGTTCAGCAATGTTTGGAAACTTCTTGTTTGCCTGAGGTACTGTTAATCTCAACACCTTTAAAAGGCTCTTGCTTCCAAAACAGAATTGCTTTTTAGGTTCTAACAGAGGGCTAACAGTAAACCTGAATGTTTCCCCTTCCTAAAACACAGAAGAGCTGGCAAAAATGGTGTTGTTTACAAGCTTTAATATCAAACTGTCTATACCTGTCAAAGCAACGAATGAAAGCCAAACAGTGAGGAGAAATCTTGGCACTCAGCTGGCACAGCAGATGAAATAAGCAGGTGATGCTCCCTCTATCTGCGGTGAAACCATCTGAATCATGCTTGAGCCTCTCAGAAGGATTAGTTCCCAACACCAATGACACAAGTAAAGAACAGTCTCCACTTACTCAACATACCTGATTTTGGGTCTTCAAGTCCTACATTTTATTCCTTATCTAACAAAAACATGTTAGGATTTTTCCTGGCACAGCTAGCCCAATCATGGAAGAGCACTCCAGTGCCCTGGTTAGGTTTGAAGAAGGATAATTAGGGAGGAAAAAAACCCTGTTGTGCAGCATTAGAACCAAAGCATCATCACATTTAATACAGCAAATATATTTTTAAAAAGGTAAATATTAACAAGACCAATAACATTATGATAACAGCTTTCTACATGATCATCACTGGGCCTAATCTTAATACCATCTTTTAGAAGACCCCACTCACATCATCATGTCCCTGATTTCACACCACTGATGTTGAAGAGGAAACTCTGTGCTGCTTCCCAGTTCTGCTGAGCACTGTGACTCACTGTGCTTTGGACTTGGGGTGTCCTTAAATCCCCTACCCACCTAAGAGCTCCTGAGATGGAGTCATTATTCAAGGAGGCAGCCCCACCACCTCCCAGGCTCGCTGCTATGCCCAGTGCAGGGCCTGAGGGGAAGAGGAGCCCTGGCATGTTTGGGATCTCACAGCCCTCAGGGTGAGTGGTAGCAAACACTGCCTTGCCCTGCCTGGATGCAGAAGGGCAGCCCCTCAGGGCTCCTCTGCCTGCAGGTTGTTTACTTTGGATTTCAGCAAAGAACAAAGCTTTGGCTGCAGTCCTCCCTGGCCAGACACCAGCTGGCCATGGATAGCAGTGCTCCCAAAGGCTGGTGGCTGTCAGGTTCCTCAGCCGGGCTAGCCCAGGGAGTGACTTAGAGCTGGCATGACACGTGTGATTGAGCTGCCCCTCTGCCCTCAGACCTGCCTCCACCAGCAAGCCCCAGCCTTTGCAAAAGCCTCTCCCAGATTTGTGCTGCAAACAGTTTTGTTGAGGTCCAGTTGTCAAAAAATGAAGTTTGAAATCGCCCCCCATGGTGCTGCTGGACACGGAGTGGTGAGAACGTGCCCCAAGTGAATGTGGTGGTGCCCTCCCTGAGCCACAGCCGCAATGTGAGTGGTCAGTGAGCTGCTTTTGGCTGCCCAGGCTGTCAGAACTGAGCTATGCAACAAAGCAACGAGCATTTGTTTCAGTGATCCCATTCCCAGAGCCGTGACTTCCAGCATTCATCCCTCCAGCCAGGTTTTTACTCTCAGCAGTTACTCCAAGGAGGAGAGGGCTGAAAACAGGAAACTTTTCAAATTGATAACAAGGGTTGAAATCCCTGCTTTTTGCATCACCCAGAAGGGAGCCCAAAGCATGTCCTTAGCTTGTCAGCAGCTAGAAACCCAAAAATGGAGACCCTGGAAACTTTTGACTCTATATAGAAGATTGGGGAAAACATCAAAGGGGCTTTAGAAAGGTGAGGGAGGCCAGAAAGGAAGAGCTCCCTCCACTGCTCATTCCTCTTGCAGCTCTCAAATCCTGCACTGTGATTCCCTAGAGGAATGCAAGAACCAAAACCAAAACCCAGAGGAAGAAACAGCACATAATGCTGATATCAATGGATACAATTAGAGCAAAAGGCTTTAAGCAAGGCTGTACACATCTCCTAGTGTTTAATCCAAAGCCCTATACAGCTGATGGCAAGTCTCCCAAGAATTTCAAAGAATTTGGGATCAAAGCATTGCATCTTTGACTCCAAAAGTTGGGAATGTAAGAGGGTGTCAGCATCAAAGCCAGCCCTGCATAGTTCCCTCCTCACTGCCATCTCAGCTACCTTTGGTGAAGCACCTCATCTAATTTAATCATCCAGGCTCCCCCAATACTTGAAGGACAGAGGAGAAGAGAGGCAGAAATTCACTGAGATATCCATTCATCCCAGGAGGATCAGTGTACAGCCAGAGTGCTAAAGTGAAGTGAGGTGACGTCAGTATTTCACAGGAACACATGGCACCCCAGTGGCTTTGGCACCCACTTCAGGCTGTGGTGTGTCTCCCAAACCAGTGTTTTACACTCCAGGCTTCCAAGATGCTGTTGCAAACCAAGCAGAGCAGTCAGAATTGATTTCCATGGGTGCTAGGGATAGGAAATTCCCTAAAGGTCCTTTGAAAATAGCCACTTCTCCATTTAGCATATCCATCTGCATATAGTTGCACAGGCCAGTGCTGCTGTGGTACCCTCCACGAATGAGCTGGCATTCTCAGTGAGAAACAGGCAACTGCAGGTGAAACCAAATGCACCCACATTTTCAATCTTGCCATACAAACTGTTAAAAATCAGAGGGGAGGAAAGAGAAGTTTTCCACTGACTTGCAGGGGTCCTAGCATGCACATTTTAGCCAGACACACTGACTTCATCTTTCTTAGCTAAATATGGTGCTTGGAGGATGCTATAAGAAAAAGCTCTTCATGTTCTTTCCTGGAATAATCAAGCCAAGGTCATAAAATGATCTTTTAGGCAAATTCCTCCCTTTGATTTGAGCCACAGGACAAGCAATCATGTTTAGACACAGATCAGTGAAGACATCTGGAATGCAGTTTTATATGTCAACATACATCATGAGGAACAGCGTGTACAGAACTCCAGACTGGCAATGGGATCCCAAAAGTGCTGTCTGCATTAAAGCATCCTGTTAATGAAGTGCAGCAACTCCAGCCTGGCCCTTTCCATACTGTGTCTGTCATAAAACCTCTCCATCACTGGATTTAAATTAGTCCTAAACCCAGAAGGTGAGAAACTCATAATCACCTGCTTGCTCTGTAAATCCAGATCTGCTGATCCCCAAAATAATGCTAGTCCAGAAACAGTCAGTGGGGCTTAAGGGTGACAAAGTGACCTAAGAGGAACATTGACACCTGCATTTTGATGCCCCATGGCCTCGTGGAAAGCTGTAAACTTTCTCAGCTAATGGATCAAAGGGAAATGCACATTAGCCAGGTACAGATTTCATTTTAGAAGCACCAAGGGCTGCTTGCCTTTTAACCAAGTTACCAACACAGGAATTTCACCCTTTTCCCAAGGACAGCCCCCAGCTTCCATGAGGTATGGAATTTTACTGTTTTAGCAAGATGGTATCTTCAGCTCTGGTAAATAGGGATCCATTAACATCCCTGTTAGCTCCCCCAGTCACCTTTTATGCTCATGACACTTTCAACTGACGTATAATGTAAGCTTACATGACATAAATGTTTTACAGCTGACAGTGCTGCTTAGATATCCCAGTAAGGATTACATATGAGCCTTTTAATACTCCTTTTTTATACTCTGCTTCTGTCCTTTAAAACACCATTTCATGTGATGCACTGTAACAAAACCTCATGGTTTTTGAAAGATAACCCAGTGGTCCACTGAGTTTCTGCACATCAGCCACAGGACTATTTGTCTTTGTCCATAACCAGACCAGAGAGGTGAATTGAAAAAGCAAAAAAACTCTTTAGATAATTAAAGAGCTAAATTAAAGAGTTTGTCAGGTGTGCAAAAGCTCATTCATTCATCAATTCACAGAAATGCAAAGGTCTAGAATGACATACATACCTTCGGTCACAATGGTTGGGGCCGCTAACAAAATGAGCCTTTGGGCCACTCCAACAATGTTGGGCAGTAATAATTCTCGAAGAGCATCGAGGTTACGGATATCCAGGGCAGTATATGCGAAGCTTCCATCAGTAGCAATCTGCTGCAGCTCTGCACTGTCAGCATTCAGGACCCCAATGCTAAACGAAAACACACCAGCTTGCTTCACCGCTAACAAGCCCTCTCGGATATCATCACTAGACTCTCCACCACTTATCAGCACTAAAATCTGAGGCACCGCTTCCTCTATCCTGCTGCCTCCCGCCTGGGTGAAGAGGTTCTCCACCACAAACTCCAGTGCCGCACCGGTGTTCGCCTCCTCGCCACCGCGGAAGCCGAGAGCCTTCACGGCATCCAGGACATCCGCTTTTGTGGAGTAGCTGCTCAAGGCGAACTCCGCTCTGGGCTGGTCACTATACTGCACCACCCCAACGCGTATCTGCTGAGCTCCAACTCTGAGGCTTTCAATCAAATTTACAAGGAAATCGCGTATGGCTTGGAAATTGACACTTCCGATGTTGTTTGATCCATCAATAAGGAAAATAAGGTCAGCGGACTCTTGAGCTTTAAAAAAACAGAAATGCAAAAGGTGAAAGCATTAAAATGGGTGATTACATGCGGTTGTACAGTGTTCTGACACGTTTCTTGGAAAAACCAGTAAGAAACACAAAAACGAGAAAACAAAACACGTGATCGCTGAGGAGGTGACATTTGCCTCTTAGTTCTGCATTCTGATTGAATATGAACTCCCAGCCCTTTTCCCAGCAGCATCCACGACCCATCAGGAGAGGGCTCGAGTGGACACAACCTGAGCCGGTGGCTGTATTTACACAGGGGTCAGCAGTACTGGCACACAAGGAGAAAACTTAGCAAAATAAAAAATGTGGGAAACCAAGATCCATTCCACCAGTACTGTCCTAATGTTTAGACAGAGCCACACGAAAAAGGTGGATTTTGGTGGCAATTCACACCAAAGTTGGCAGGTGAGGACAGTAATATTCCCTGGGGGTTTTTATCATTGCAGTCTCTCATTTTTTGGAAGGTAAAAAGCCAGCATTTACTGGATGCATGGAGTGTTTCAGCCCCTCTGTCACAATGCTGCTCTCTTCTGGTTAAACTCAGGGGCTGAATATACTGGCTTCTCCCACCACGAAGGACTAGTATTTGAAATGCATTTGTTAGAAACAATTGAAAAGGTTTAGGTTGTTTTTCTTGCACTGTAACTCTCTGACCAGCTGCCAGCATCCAACTTGTCCAGCAAAGTGGACCCACACAATTCTCAACCCGGGCCATGCAAAAACTGTCTCACTTTAAATATTATGCACAAGGACGGGTTGGTTATTGCTAGAGGGGTCTGATCTGTGTTTTTCCTGTGGACTCTGGATATTCAATCAAAGAATGCAGAATCAGGTTAAAAAAGGGTGATGAAATCAGTCATGACACAATTATCCAACTCTATTTGTTGTGACCATATGCAGATGATCACAAACATTTGCTGAGAGTATACACACACCAAACAAAGCTTGGATATGGCATGAACACGGGGTTGAGGGGGAGCATTTCTGTTGTGAGACTTACCAAAGCAGACCCAAAATGCCCTGGTGTCTGCTCTTACTCCTTTTGCTCAACTAATTTTACCATCAACCTCACCAAGAGCTCTGTGCATGGAAAAAAGTAGCAAATACCCCAAGCATGCTTGGGTATTTCCACGCTATTGATCTCCAATCTTGTGAAGAACTCAAATTTCAGACTATTTGCAAATGAATGACAAGCAGCATTTAGAAATATCAATCAGCTCTCAACTTTTGAAAGCCAAAGGTGAAACCAGTAGAAAAACTGATATGTAGTTTGGCAAGGCCAGGAATAAACTTGAGGTCTCTGCTATTAACCAGCAGTGCCAATTTGTTTATTTATTGCCCGTTAGATTGCTCTTCTGTAAATGTTTTCATTCACTGCAATGCCCTCTAGAGATTCAAATAATGCTGCAACTCCAGTAACAAGGTCTCCAGGTCACCATCACTGCCCTGGGCCAACTCAACAGCCAGTGCTGGCTTGGAGAACTTCAACAGGGTTCAGCAAAGAGCTTCAGGAATTATTTCTCCCTGGAGACAAAATTTAGGGGTGCTTAGGGCTGTCTTTCCTGTGCCATTTTCAGTTGGGATGTACACCTTCTACTTCATCGTACAAATGACAGGGAAATCTCGAGGTGGTTTTGCCCAGGGCTGCTTATCTCTTTTGAGGAGCAAGATTTCAGCCACTAATGGGTGCCATCACACCAGCTCGGGCCGCTCCCACCAGACAGAAAACAGATCTGAAACAGATGCGTTGGATAATTTGTCATCACTGTAAAAAAAAACAAAACCTTGTACTTCAGTGCACATTTATGGAACAAGGCGGTGTGGAGAACAAGTGAAAAGCGTGCTGGTTACACAACTAAGCAAGGAAGGTCAGATGAGACAGACAGCTCAGCTTGAACAAATCCATCAGGGCAAACTCGGGGCTGATGGCCCTGCTTATCAGCTCAATAAATGACTCCTTGAACTCTTAAACCAACAGTAATTTGTACCATGCTTTTCAATCTACTGTCATCCGAGGTTTAGGACCTGTAACAACTATTCCCATGTTTAAATGATACTCTGTGTACTGCCCATGAAAGTCACACAGGGGCAAAACTACAATAGTGGGATTTTTCAAATTTGTGCTACAGGATGGGAAAGAAATACTTGCAAAAAATACCTTTGAGGAGAAACAAACTTGGAAATTTGTGATACACACAGAGCAGGATTTTGGCTTCAATGCTTTTAAAGAAATGTCTGTGCCTCCACACTATGGGGTTACCTGCTGGCATGGCCCAGAGGAGGGCAGCCAGCTGCCACAGACCAGTTCCTCTACTCATTTCAAAAAAGAATCACTGGGGTCCTTCATGGTGAAGATGCTCAACAGCCACTGCAGTGCTGTCATCAGGTTGGGTGTAACACCCGTTTTTCACATATATTGGTATCATTTTCTTAGTATCAGTGAGCTTTTTGTCACCTTTCTGGGGCAGCTGCTCCCCTGTGGCTTCCACGTGGCCTGCATAGTTGCCCTGCCAAGCGCTTTGCACGAGGAAAACACACATGAGCACGGCCTTTTGGTGCTGCTGGGCGTCATGCAGAGATGGAGAGCACCCAGCGGGGCTGGTGTGAGGGTTAATAGGCAAGACAGCACAGGGAGATTAATGCTACGCTGCCTCATCACACTCCCGTTGCCTCACGTCACCCCACAAGCTGTTGACCTTCAGATGGAGTCCCAGGAATAAAAAGAAAGGTTTGATCTCCAGGACTTGTGTTTTGAAACACAACAAAGCTGCTCAGAAGGCCCTCTCCATGCTGGAATTTATGTCATAAACAGAGGAGGGACGGAGGGAGACTGTCTTATTTTGTTTCCAGGAAAACTGGGCCCCTCTGTCTTGCGGTCAGTGCAGATCCATCGAAGCCAACGTGGCTTGGAGGGAGGTTTTGGTTGTAGGAAGGGTCCAGCACTCCAGCAGGTGGACTCTCCATGACTCTCCAACCACACACCTTCTTCAAGTGCGTGAGGAGAGGGGCTAAGGGGTGGGGTTTTCAGCAGAGAAATTCTCCACCCAACTTCTTTTTGCTGTCTTCAGCCAAGAACGTGACTTCCTGGAGTGGCACATTGCCTGTCTCCCCCCACAGCTCACCTCTTCAGCTGTCCCAAATGTACAAATGGAAATTTAAATACTCCAGACCCGACTGAACCACATGATCTGGCTGTGAGGTGACATCCTGCATGGTGTCCCTGCCATCAGCAGTGACCTTATCGGTCTCCAGAGGGTTTTCGGTCAGGATCACCACCAGGTCTGGTGTGTTCATGCCCTATTTCCCTGCCTTGGGAGCGAACAGCATGGAGCAAAAACTCTGCAGGGCCCCCTGCATTTGCATTTCCACACCACGTGTGCCAAAGGACGGGTACGGCGTGCTTGCTGCCCATCCAAGGACTCCTGAGCTAATTCCCAGCAGGGATACCGGCCCGGTCTGCAAACAACAGCACGCTCGGTAGCCACAAACACCGGGCCACACGCTTCAAACCTTTGTTTTTAAACCTCTGAACGTCCATCTCAGTCTCGCCCCTACAAAGGCTCCAAACAGCGCAGCGCCAGCAGATGCCACCAGCCAGCCATTACCTGTGACGTCTTTAACCAGTCCTTTGGCCCCAGCCTTTTCTGGAGTCATGGAGGAGCGCACACTCGCCACTAAGTCCCCAACTATGCCGTGGAGAGCGGTAAAATTCTCTAGGTTGAAACGGTGCGCATCGAGGGGTCCGCCCGCTCTCTCCTTTAGCTGCCCTTCCGCGGCGTCCTGCACGCCGACCGCGAACACGTTTACAGGGGCTGAGTTAGGGACGGAGGAGGGCAGGGCCACGCCGCCCTGGGGCCGGCCGTCCGTCAGCACTATGATAACCTGGGGGACGCCTTCACTGGCTCTGCTCCCAGCAGCTTTAGTGAGGTGCTTCTCGATTAGGTACTCTAATCCTTTTCCAGGCTCGGCGCCTCCCCCCGCGTAAGACATGTTGGCAATGTGGGACAGGACGTCTCGGGTAGAGGGGTAGGTGTTTAACTGGAACTCTGTGTGGGGGTTTCCGCTGATCTGGACCAGGGCAAAGCGAAAATCACTTCCTCCCACATCTAAAGCTTTTACAACATCATACAGAAACTCTCGGACAAGTTGGAAGTGTTCCTTCCCAACGCTCCAGGAGGAATCCACTAGAAATATTATATCAGCCACGGCAACGGTTCTGACAGCTTTAAAAAAACAAATGGGGGGGTTTAGGAATTTCTACGGTCAGCACAAGCACGCCTCCTCGCCCGAACAACCGGCAGCCCGTTCCGCGGGGTGACAGTGAAGCTGAGCTTCCCCTCATCGCCCGCAGCACAACGAGAAGCGCTGCAGAACACCCAGGCAGCCGTCAGCGCCCTGACACCGCAGTGCTGGGGGACAGGAGGGGACAGCATGCGCCCTACCCTTCCCAGGGAAGGGGTGCCGAGGTGCTTCCCCACTCCCAGACCCTCACCTCACAGCTTTGGACAGCAGCCCCCAGCCAGACAAAGACGCTGGCAGCTCCACATGTGAATTTAGGCTCATTCCATTTCAGTCTCCTGCACGTTTTTTGCTGACTCAGGGCTTTGCTGGCTCTGTGGTGGTTCTCAGGGAAAGGAAGGGCTCCTTGGTTTAAGCAGCCTGGGTGCTGGCATGAGTTTTCCACATTTTTCCTGCTGTTAACACCCAGCTCCGGTCCCAAAGGCACCGGCACCTCCTCTTAAAGCAGCCTCCCTGCAGGTCAGCGGCAGTGCTCTTCTCACTGCAAAAGCCATCCTACACATGCAAGGAGGGCACAACAGCTCTGCCCACGTGAACACCCTCTCAGGGCCACGCTGGGTGCGCATCCCACAGCCCGGTCCCCCACAGAGCACCCTCCAAGGCACGGCACGGGCCAGCGACATGCTCGGGAAGGCACCGCGCGCACGGGTGAGGTCTGGGTCCCAAAGGACCCCCAGCGAGGTGGGAGCTGCAGAGCAGAAGGTCACCAATCCACGACATAACCATCGACATGCATGTTAAAAACCAAACAGGGCGAGCTAGTGGCTCATTTGTACAGGGCCAAAGTCAGGAGAAGCGGTCCGGTCTTACCTGCCTGCTGTTGGGCACGAACCGGGCAGAAGCCTGGCAATAGGAGGCAAAACAGTGCCACAAAGGGCAAATGCCGGTGTTTCCTCATTTTGGGTCTTTTATCTGAGATTTTCTTTTATTCCCTTCGTTTCAAAGCACCCAGTGTGGGACCTGAGGGAGAAAAACAGGGAGAGTGAGAAACAGTGGCAGAGCTGCCCAGGCGCAGATGAGGTGCAAGATAGAAAAGCCAAAACCACGCAGTGTTACAGGGCTTTGGGGGCACTTGGGCAGGAAAGAAAATATTTTACTGCTGGACAATCTACTTCATAGCAAGCAGTCCTTTGCAAGAGGAATCCTCACTCACATAACTGACATTTAATCACCCCTGTGGACTCAGATGGTTTTCTTCTTGCCTGTCCTGTCCCAGGTAATACTGAATACATAGGAAGCTGCTGAGCCTACATTTCTACCATCAAAATACGTCATTGCCTCTCACCTGCCCTCCTCACTCATGGACAACCAGCTGAAACATCTTGGCCAAGATGTTCCCTCTTGCTGTTGCCATTTTCTTCCCTTATTTTTTTCTAAACACCACAGTAATTGCCCTGAACATCCCACTTAGCCTCAGCTCACCTCTTCAGCTGTCCCAAATGTACAAATGGAAATTTAAATACTCCAGACCTGACTGAACCACATGATCTGGCTGTACAGCAAAAAGGCCTTGGACTCCCCCAAGCTCACAGCACCGGTGGTGGAATGGCCTGTGCTGGCTGATCGTATTTTGGAAAGGCCCCAGGAATAATATTTTATCTCTTGGAGCCAAAACTATAATTTAAGCAAGTTTGTTATCTGTGATCCACCTGGCAAGCCTTCTGAAACAATGTCTCTGTCAGGAAAGCTGTGTTTCTGTTGCCATGGAGATGACAAATTTAATATTTAATCTTCACTTGCAAGCATACGGAACAGAAACCAGCAAGGCTTGCTTAACTGAGAAAATATCCTCCCAAAAGGGAACACAGTGATTTAATACTTTTCATTCCCCAAAAGGAGCTCAAATACTCAAATCAGCCAAAAGTGACTCAAATACATCAAACTGTTAACCAGGTCATCATCATAATAAAATAATAATAAAAAAAAAAGGTAATTCAATTTTCTTCATACCATCCTTGCCAATTCCATCAATCCAGAGAGTTATGACCAATACAAAGAGCCTAAGAAGGTTAGGGGGAAGACTAGCCCCCTTTTTGAGGAAAGCCATGGTAACTACACTGATGGCCATTGCTGGCACAGCTGGAAGCAGAACCAAGAGCTGGGAATTTGGGAAAATTTGGAAATAAACAGCTAACCCCACTTTCACTGAGGAAACACTCCTCAGGGTATTCCACTGGGCAGTTCAGTGGAAGGGAGGGGACAACTTCCACCCGGTTTCCCAAAACCTGACTGGATCCTGACTCTGGCATTTATGAGTTTGGAAAAAGCTACCTCCTACCTTCCCCCCACATTTGTGAATAATAATTATAATGACAATACTAAGAGTAATGATGCCAGATGGAGAGACATTTGACAGACACCCAGAGCCAGCAGTCAGCACACCATGTCAGTTAAGACACAGCAAGTCCTCCCTGTTATTGGCAATCCCTCAATCCACAGAGGCAGCTGCTGCATGCAGCCCAGAGGTATCGCTGTCATTCATAAATAAATTAAAAAATCACATTTGTAAGCTGGCACTGGTCCATCCCCCTGGCTGTTCCACTCCAAGCCCAGCCTACCGGTGCCTCCAGCGGGAACAAACCTGCCCTGCTGGACTGCTTCCCTGATGGACAGCTTGCTCCTGGAAAAACTAATTTCACCCAAAGGACACGTGGAGAGGGAAAAGCTCTGCTTCCCCATGGAGGCAGGATTAGCCACGGGGTTTGACCCCTGAGCACACCAATACACAAAGTTGTGCAGGTCCCAGAGCTGAGATTCGCAAGAAAACACTGAGCTCATGACAACCACCCATCCAACCCCACTGGGGCATCTCCCTTCTAGGAAGAAGAGGTTTAGGGAAGAGCTGCAAGTTTTTGGAGAGGGTTTTGGGAGTGTGCAGAAGCCAAGAAGAGCTCTCAGGCACACGGTGGGATTGTTGGGGTGGCCCATGCAGGGCCACGATCTCTGTGGGTCCTGGTCCTAAGATAAAGGGGGCTAATGTGTTTGTCAGAGATCAGGGCCTGACAGACCAATTTCCATGCCAAGTGTGTAATTTCCTAATAAACCTGGGTAAGCTTTTGTGGACCCTCTGACTTTCATCTTTCCTTTCAACCCTGAGCACCCAAGAACCTTGGGTGCTCCCTTCCCCTTAAGGGTGGGATGCCACAGATTTAAAATGCTGCAAGCAATGAATGAAAACTGCGAACTAAAATTCATGCTAAGGAAAAAATAATGCTGTCAAAGTGCTCACATTTCTTTTCCAAAGCGTAGGAAGTCACGTTATCATCCTGTGTTATCAGAATGCTGGCAGCCCATCCCAGCAACAGCTGGGGACGAGCAGAGCATCGGGATAAATCAGTGAAAATGAATGTCTTGCCAGCTAATAAATGACAGGACTGAAGCAAACATTTGGGAGCTCTGGGGTTTTTACCCTGAGCAGCTGCACAGAGCCTGTTTACAGCCACGAAAGGCAGCAGAAGGGAAAAGTGAAACCCCCCTAGTGCTACAGAATCCCCCCTCCCCAGCCCATGGGATCCCCTGTGACCTTCCCACAGCCCATGGGCACCACAAGATGAATCTGGATAACACAACACCAAAGCAACACCCTGTCTCAGCTTTTCTTTCTTTTCCCTGACTGGGAAAATACAATGCCCTTTCCCAAGCAATAATAAATTGGCTACCCTTTCTAATCATTGATTCATGTGCTAAAAGACTAACTCCTGCAGCCTTAAATAATCTGAAGGGTTTATGTGTGTCTAGGGTTTATATAGTGTGTGCTGACCTCTTAGTATTACAGTATGTCCTCCATCAGAAGAAATACATCTGTTCCTAATAGTGCTCTCAAAAAGCAATCATTTCTATCCCTGACACAATGAAGTGATTTCCTTAAATATTTTCCCCAGCAGCTATTTTTTGCATATTGCATATTTCTCCATGCATAAAATTCGACATTTTACATCTTTTTTTTCCTTTTTTTTTTTTTTTTTCCCTTGAGGCAATGTTTCAAATTCACTTTCTAAGCAATCATGTGCTTGTGTGTGTGTGGGTTGTTGGTTTTTGGTTTTTTTTTTTTTCACTGGAGTGCATTTAAAAGAAGATCTGTGAGAGTGCAAAGCAGATGAGAAGACTTAGAAAGCAAAACATAAAAGGCAGGGGAAAATTCCTGCAGCTGTTGCATACCACTTTGGTTCATCCTATCTGCCTCTGAGCTGGGCTGCCTGGCTTTGGGAAGGAGGGGAAGCATCCCTGGCTTTGGCCATAGGAATGTGATGTGTGTCATGCAGGGATATAGATAGGTGCAATTAGTAGGGTAGAGGGAATAACTGATGTTGCAAAATCCCTCCTACATCTGAATTCTCAGCTGGACAGTGCTTCAGGCACTGATGTTATCTGTCATGCTGGACTCTTAAGAGAAGGCAATAAGCTGTCAGAGGGGTTTTCTGTCCTGGTATTTTGTAGTTTGATGCTTTTTTCGTTAAGGTTAAAGGGCTGAGGTGGACAGAACCGACTCTTGGCATGTGCTAAGCAGGAAATCCAAAATCTTAGCTTACATTTTGATAAGGGAATGGAGTGACAGGATGAGGGGGAATAGCTTCAAACTGCCAGAGGGCAGGGTTAGATGGGATATTGGCAAGAAATTCTTCCCTGTGAGGGTGGGCAGGCCCTGGCACAGGTTGCCCAGAGAAGCTGTGGCTGCCCCATCCCTGGAAGTGTCCAAGGCCAGGTTGGATGGGGCTTGGAGCAACCTGGGCTGGTGGAAGGTGTCCCTTTTGGGATGGGACCTTTGGGATGCCCCCCTGACTCATAATATGGTACATGTGGTCCAATTTTCCTGCCCAGCCCTGGAGGATCCCCAAAGAATATATTGAGTAAAAAAACCCTGAGAACCAATGTCATCTCCTAAATTCCCTGTGCGTGGGGGGTGCACCACGTTGGGCTGGGGGAAAGAGGTGGATCTGCAGCTGGGCCCCAACAGGCTTCCTGAAAGGGGATCAGGGAGGGCAAAGCACCATCCCAGAGATGCTGCAGGAGATGAGGTGCTCTGAGCATCCTCCACACCCCTCTAAAAGTCTGTCTCACGGGGATGTCAGAGTCAAAACCGAGCTGCTTTTGCCTTCACCTCAGTTTGCTTTGTGGGGATCTCCCCTTGCCCATCATCACCCTGTTTCCCAGTCAAACTGCTCGGCCTCAAATCCCCTCGGCTTGGCTGTTCTCTGCTGGATCTACATCCATAGGAAGTGGCAGTGAAGACAAGAGGCTGCTGTAAGCCCTGTCAGTGCCTTGAAAGTGGGTGCCAGCCACCCAGAACAGCTATTTGCACCCCCAGCAGTGGGATATGCATCCGGTCACAGCTGTGGAGCAAGCTGGGAGGAGAAACCTGAACTCCTGACGTGGAGCCACGGAGGCACAGATGGTATGCTTCTCTCTTGCCAGCATGAATACCCTGTTAAATTCCTCTGAGCTGGGCAAACTGTTAACCAAGAGCCACTTCTGGCAGCGATTTGGGCACATGTCAGGCTAAATGCCAGGATTTTTCCATGTGAAACAGCTGGGTTATCTTTCCAAGGGGCATTAAGTGTGTCCCATGCCTGGCTGCCTCTTCATCACAGAGCACTGAATCTCACCTGACTCCACAGAGTCCAGGAGAAGCAAAGCTACTTCTAGAGGCTCAGGGTGAGCTTGAACAGGACAGATCCTGGATTTATTCATGGCTACAGGTGGAGCCATTTTAATTTGCATGGGCTCTTCTGAAGCGTTTCCATCGAGGTTGCTGCCATGTGGCACTGGGAAGGTGAGGCTTGTTGGGCTGCACCTGAACACATTTATTGTTCCCACAGAGGTAGATCTGAATATTAAGAGCAAACAAGCCTGAAAGGGTGGAAAATCTTCCTCCTTTTGCAAGCCTTGTGAGCTCCAATTCAGCAAAGTGACAGTGTTAGGCTGTGTTTATGTCCTACCCAGGCTAGCTCCCTGGCTGTTAAGAGTCTGATATGAATCATATACCCATTTTTGTCCTTCTAAGCATGCTGCTGGCTTAAAATCTAGTTGTTTTCTCCATCCTAAGGCTGAGACTAAAATAGAGGTGTTAATAAGGGGAAAAGGAGTATTTGCTAGAAAAGAAGAGGAAACTCCCTCAAAGATCAATGCCTCTTTATGCATAGCAACTGAAGCCTCCCGGAGCCTCTCCACCCAAACCAATCGGCTGCTTAATGTGGAACACAGAGCACTTAAAAACGTGGAAAAAGTGATGGGCACGCGGAGGGGTAAGGCTGGCTGTGATTCACGGCAGAGAGCAGGCACGCACTGCCACCCTCTGCCGGGCACGCCCAGCACAGGGACGGCCTCACCCCTGGAATTCCAGCGCATCCAGGCTGCGGGAATACAGTCCAAGGCTGGCAAGGCTGTGCAGTTACCACAGTTTGTACTAATGGAAGGAATAAGATGTTCCCTTCCCTTCCCTCCTGTTCCTGGACAGGCACGTAGCAAAAGCAGAAGAGGAACATCCCCCCCCCTTACATGTGGGAGTAAAGCAGGGGCTGGTTTAGCTCACCCTGAAAGCGGGGAGAGTTAACGCATCTGGATGGAAAATGGCAGGAATGTTTGAAAAACCAGAAAGAGGAATGGGAAGAGTGCTGGAAAATGGGAAGGGAATGAATGAATGAATGGCAATGTGGTGGCAACAAGCACAAAGCCCTCCACTCCTGTCCTAAAAATGCCATCACAGCTCTGGTCATGGCCAACCCCTCTGCCAAGAGCAGGATGGAATGAAGGTGTAAGTTTGGGGATGAAAAGTCTGTTTCCCTGAGCCCTGATACCTGTGACTCAAGGGATGGTGCCAGGGAAGTGCAGAGTCTCTCCTCTGCCACTGCATTCCTACACAGCCTTGGAGGAATCCTCCAGCTCCCTGCAGCACACTCAGGCCGGAGACATCTGTCTGTCCTCCACAAACCTCCTGAACCGGGTGGCTGAGCCCCAGAAACAGCACTATGTAAGCACAGTAATTATCCAACCACAAACACTGACTTTTTTTTTCTCCCTTAAACCAGTAAGGAACGGGGTAAAGCCAGAAGTCTGAAAAACGCAGGATTCCTCCCCCGAGAGCACACATGAATCATCACAGCAGGCAGAAATGAGCTGAGAGTTTCCCAGTACACCCGCTGGAACCAGAGTGGCTTTGGCCACCTCTGCCTCCAGCCAGTTTTGGCCCCCGTGCTTGGTCAGGAAACCAGCTTGGCCACAACCATTTGTGGCTCCAGGCTCCAGTTGGGAAGGGAGGGCTTTGCCGAGCGCAGCGGTGTCTCCAGCATTAGTCAGAGCCGCCCCCTCAGCGAGAGCACTGCTGTTCAAAGCCCCAGGGAGCCGAGGGCAGCTGGGGCTACGGGGGAAAAGGGCTGGGGAAGGCTGCGGGGAGCGTGGACGGGAGCTGTGGGGACAGGAGGTGACAGCAAGGCTGGAGAGCCCCGTTCCCTTAGGGGAAAGTCTGTTTGGCTCATTTCCCTCTCTGGGGATGACCACAAGAGGATGAGGATTATTCCTGCAGCCACATCCTGGCCCACCCCGGAGCGGCGGGGACACGCCTGGCAGCAGGACCCGAGTGGCACGGAACCAGCACCTCTGCCAGGTTCATCCCGCCTCGCCTGGCGACAGGAGGGGTGAGGGTGGCTATCGAACACCCCCCGAGCCCTGGGAGCAGGAAAGAGGCACTGAGACACCCCCTTAGCCGCGCTCCTTGCAGGCTCCCATTCATGCTCCCACCTCCTTGTGCGCAAGAAGCTCCCCAAAATATTATATGCCCCTCTCGGGGCATGTCATCCTGCCCCGATCCCATCCGACTGCCGCTGCAGTGATTTCGAGGCATCAAAGGCAAAACCCACCCCGCAGGAGCAGGGGAAAATGCTCCGCTGAGTTCTTTTGAATGGATTCGTTCACCTGCAGCGGCGTGTCCCCGAAACAACTGCGCTGCATCAGCTGCGAGAGGACACTCCCAGGGTAGCAAGCCGGCAGAATCGCCCTCCACCCACACACCCCGCTTTTCCAAGACTAATGCAAACCTGGGAATGGGTTTTGTCCAAAATTCCTCGAAAACTCCCCAGGTACAACAAAAGCCCTCAGTAACACCCCGCTGACGAGGGGATAAGCGGCGCAGCAGCTGCCCAGGGCCGCAGCCCAGGCTAAGGGCTCCCGCGCGGAGAGCAACGCTTACCCCTGAGCAAACCTCCAGAGAGAAAAAAATTTGCGTGTTCCAGGACTTTCTGCTCCGAAGCGCCTCTTTCAGCCTTGCTTCATGGCACGCGGTGCCGCTCAGCCTTGCCGGGGGCTGCCTGCCTCGCTGCGTGGGACGAGGGACGGGGCGCGCTGGTCCCCGCGCGGCGGCTGCCGTGGCTCTGTCTGTCTGTCTGTCTGTCCGTGTGTCGGAGCGCGGCCCGAGCGGGCGGCGGGCGCGGCAGGGCCGGGGGGGCCGGGCCAGCCGGCGCCGCAAATTGGATCCAGATGGTCGGTGCTGGCGCTGCCGGGGCTGAGCTCAGAGCTGCTCATCACACACAATCTCCGTCCCCCCACCCCCCCGCTCCGGGGTCGGGGGACGCCTCCGCGATGTGTGGCTTCCCGTTCCCGCGCTGGCCATGCGGTATCCAAAGTGCCTCCCCCTTACCTCTGAGAAGAAATGTATAAAAAAAATATAAATAAATAAATAAATAAGCCCTGTGGAATAGAAGGAGCCGATTAAACGATGCCTTCTGGTCAGGAGGGGCTGGGCTTGGGGTGTATTTGCAGGAGCCAGGAGGTGCCAAGGACCATGCTAATTTATGCAGGGCTCCAGCGAAGCGCCGTTCCGAGATGCTCGAGGCTGCGGGAAGCTCAAACTCTCCCCCACTGGACAGTCACGGGCATCTACACAGCGGCAGTCTCTTCATACAGTTTCCTATTGAAATCTGCTGTTTCCTACTGAAAACAGCAGGGGTTTTTTACCTACCCAGATGCGGAGGAAGGAGTGGGGATTTATGTTATAGCATAACTCACAAATAAAAGCTAATTCCTTAGCATAAGGACACGTACTTTAAAATACATATAGGTTTAAAGTTTAAAAGGCAACAAATCGAGTTCTGGAAGTTTTTAAACTTCTATAATGTGAAAGAATACCTTTAACCTTTTATTCAGCAGAGCGTAATAAATTTGGGACTAATTTTATTCCTCCGCCTTGAGCGAGAGCAGATCACTGGTCAAAGTTAAACATTTCAGCCTAGGCTGGTTTTTGGGTGGTTTTTTTTCAAGAAATAGTATGGAAACATTAATTCTTATCTCTTGCTCTTGTTTGGTTCCATATAAGGCTGGAACAGAGATGGAGTCCCTGGAATCAAACAGTCAAGTTCTCCTCCTTTCAAATGGGGATTTACGATGTTTGCTCTTGGGTTTTGTCCTGTTCGAAAGACCAGCCCCATAAAGAAATAGCTGGAATGTTTCAGGAAAGTGCTGAGCCCTCGGGGTGATGCAACAGCTCGTTCTCGAAATGGTGCTTGGCTTGGTGCTGGCAGAGGCTGAACGCCGAGCTCGCAGGGGGATCCAGAGTGACCCTCCCCAGCCTCGAGCCTCAAAGAAAGCCGGGTGTGGTGTCCCCCCTCCAGATCTGTCAGGCTGGGTGTTCCCAAATAACAAATGTGCCTGGCAGGAGGGAGCTAAAGCTCCTCGCTGGGGGTCGGTGGGTGCTGAGCAGGGATGGTGGGAATGGGAGCAGCTGGGAAGCGCTGACAAGCAGGTTGTTTTTGGTTTATTTTAATTCTTTTAATTTGCATTTTCACTCACAATGGGTGAGGGACAGCTGCTGGAGGATAAAATACATATGATGGAGGTGCATTATGTCAGCAGAAGCATCCAAACCAAGGGCTTTTCCAGGTGATTTTGGATGTCAGGCAGAGAGCCCAAGTGGGCTGCCCCACCTCTGGAAGTGTCCAAGGCCACGTTGGACAGGCTCCAGGTTAACCTGGTCTAGTGGAAGGTGTCCCTGCCTCTGGCAGGGGGTGGGAGTGAGATGGTCCTGAAGGTCCCTTCCAGCACAGGCCATTCTGTGATTCAGCAGCACCAGCACCCCAGCAAAGCAGCAGCTCATGATCCTGTATGAAGAATTGCATCCACCAAATGGGGTCCAGTGGTTTCAGTTTGCCACCACCAGTGGTAACCAGTATGGTCTGGTCATATCAGTTCAGTAGCAGCTGGGATCTTTATTGCCTTTACTTCAGATACACCTCCAAAAACCAGAATTTTCTGTGTGGCAATGAAGGAGCACGGGGAAATGTTTTTATTTGACTGAAGAAAAACCCAGAAGAACAAACCACGGGAAAGTTCCAGGCACCCTCAGAACCACAGTGAAAACAGCCAAGACAGAGGATTCCAGATAAATAATGTAACAGTGCTAGTAAAACGTGCACGACCTGTGCTGAGTGCCTATCACAGCTCGATTAAGAACATATTCAACTGGGTAGTTAGACTCATTTCTTGTTGTGGTGTTAGCATTTCTTTCTTCTTTTTTTTCTTTGTCTTAATATGGTTTTAATATTGAAATGACTTCTTTTCAGTGCTCCAGTAATTAATGAGGCTGTAAGAGCTGTTCAGTTCCCATCTGACTGCCTTTATGGCTGTACTAACCGAGCTGAGAGGTTTTGCTTTCCAAAAAGGGGCTTTGTCACTGGCACACAGTTGGGGAGCAGGGAGCCAGGACGCTCAGGGCATTTTGGGGTGGGGTTACTTTTTTCCCCTTTCACTCTTTCCAATCCTTCCTTTAGCAGTTCCCTCTCTGTTTGTGTTGGTGACCCCCAGAAAAGCTCTCCCAGTCCATCCTGGCAGCAGACAGGAACCCAGGCAGGTCCCTTCTGTGGCTCCTGGGACGATTCTGAGGGTGAGTGACACCCCGGGGGAGAGGGTGACAATCTGCAGGCACAGACTTCTTTCCATCCCCAGACACCAGCAAGCCCTCTGATAATTAATAAAAGACTGAATCACATCACACTGGTAATTTGTAGAGGCGGCTGGGATTAAGTTTAGCAAGATTTTGTCCCTGGTGTATTAATAACTAGACGTGATTAATGCTATGAGTCAGGAGATGGGTTTTGAGGAATTCTCTTTCTACCCACGACAAAAAAAAAAAAAAGCCACGTGTGCTACATCCTTGCCTGGATGCAAAGGGGACCTTGGTGTCCTCCCATCCCCAGAATAAGGGTCCCAGCTGGAGCCCTCCTAAAAAACTTCAGTGAAACTGGTGGAGGTGGTGAAGTTCTGCAGTTCTTTGCTGCTGTGCTTCAGCTGGGCTGTTTCTCCCCCTGATTTAAGCAGCTCTGTGGATTTCCCACGTGTGATTCACACAAGCTCGGGGTGGGGGGGGGGCTGGCTCTGGGTCCCCTGTGCAGGGGGACACCCAGGAACATCCCACCTTGGCTCCATCCTTGAGCACCATCTGCTGGCTTTTCCTCCAGGGACTCCTTGGGCAGCCACCAAACCCAAAGTCATCTTTTCCCCCTCGAGTAGAAACTGCCCCTGCAAGGTGGGGCTGCTGCTCACCCTGAAATCAGGGACTGCCACCAAAACCAAGGGTTGCTCCGTTACTTTTCCATCCCCGGCTGAGCACCCACACAGTGGATTGGAGATGTGGGGTCCAGCTGGGGCCTTCACACCCATCTTTCTCCTGGTTGCAAATCAATGCAGAGAGCTGCTCTGCAGGAACAAGGGCAGGGCTGCAAATCACATTTTAATTTTGCTCGCAGTAGATGGTTTTCATTAGTTTGAAATGACTTGCTTTTATCTCAACTGCTTCCCATACCACCAGCACCCTGAAGCTTTTCCTGGTTCTGCTTTTCTCCTTCTCTTTCTGTTTGTCTGTCTGCCCCTGTGCAAATGTTTCTTGATGTATTTCTGTTGCATGCAATACCTCTCTAGACTTTGAAACTGCCAGGGAAAAGGGCAAGAGCATCTCTGGATGGGCAGCACTGGCCAAGATGTTAAAACACCTCTGTAAAACCTCCTTCCCATCCCTGGAAGTGTCCAAGGCCAAGTTGAACTGGGCTTGGAGTGACCTGGGCTAGTGGTAGGTGTCCCTGCCCAGTGACAGGGGATGGAACAAGATGGGCTTTCAGGTCCCTTCCAACCCAAACCATTTTATGATTTTTATAATTCTATGGGATTTTTTTTTCCCCTCCTAAAAATCTCAGCAACAAAAGCAAGCCTGCCCCAGGCTGTGTGTGTATATAAACTCTAAGTGTATATATATATATATATACTCTTAATCCATGGCCTGTAGGAGAGATCATAATTCAAAAGGTGAAACTTGGAGCCCTGACCAACTACATCCTGCAAAAAAAGCCCTTCTGCTGGAAGAGATTTTCAGCTTCTGTGATTACAGGGAACAAACTACTGTCAAATATGTAAATAGCGTGGATATTTCCCCCTCTCACACAACGTGCAGCTTCTAGGTCAGTGAAGTGTGATGTGAAGTGTGATGCCCCGCTTCTGTGAAAGATAGCTACGCTCTTCTCCAGAATAAAAGATAATTCAGGGAGCACAAGATGTGCTTTGGCCAACACAGACCTTGCCAGCCGTTGCTTTGGGTTGCTCCTGCTTTCTTGTCATGGACCCTTCCAGGTCAAGCCTTGCACAAGGGGATCAAAAAAAAAAAAGTCTTTCCAAGTCCTGTCCTCCCAGTCCTGTGGCAACACTTGGAAGCCCTGTGCTGCATAAAAGCTGTTTGAAACGGGCTGAATTTCAGCAGCTCAATGAAACTTCCAACTCCTGTGATGGAAAAGCCTGTTACTAATTACGGGGAGAGAGGTGAGGTGGCTTGAAAAGAGCTGGAGTGAGGGAGAAGCCAGAAATACTCACTGCCCACGCGGACAGGATGATGTAACGGCAGACGAGCCGAAGAGGAATTATAGGGAATTATTTGTACTCAAAGAGGAATTACAGAGAATTATTTATACCCATGAATGAGTGCTGTGTCAGTCAGGAAGATATGGAGGGGAAAAAAAGACCTGAGAATTTGCTGCAGCCAGTTCATTGGAAACCTGTGGTCATTGTGCACCAGTGGCAAAGAGCAAAAATCTTGTGTTATGATAAAAAGGAGAGGAGAGCCCTGGAAATGTACTGATGTGCCATATATCCCAGCCCTCAGGGGTATGTTCTTGTTAGGGTTCCCTATTAAAGAAATAAGAAAAAAAAAAAAAAAAGCGCCCATGTGGGCTTTTATGTGATAAATAGAATTTTCCATGAGTTCTTTTGCTTGGGTAGAATGAGAAGGAGCCCAGAGAGCAGCAGTGCTGGAGACTGAAATACCCTGTGGGCATCCTGCCAGGTGATCTGTCCAAAATGTTGCTGCTTTTTAATCTTTGGAGCAAAGTCGAACAGGCTTAATTCAGCTGTGAAAACTGGGCCACTCTCCTGACTTGACAGAACTCTGAATTAAAGTGGGGAAAACACCTGCACTCTGCTCCAGGGATTGGAGGAGTTGAATCCCTTCTCCATCTCCTTCCAGAGGAGCACAGAATGGTTTGGGTTGGAAGGGACCTGAAAGCTCATTTCATTCCAC